TAAAACTACAGCTTCCATGATGCTTTGTCATTGTAAAGGCATTCTAAAATTATGCAAAGCATCATGGGAGTTGTAGTTGTACAACATCTGGGGATCTATCTTTTGGGCACCCCTATAATACAGAAACAATGTCTGTGTATTAACAAATGGTGCAAATCAAATACCTATAAAAACATCCATGTTTAGGATTGGCAATCTCTCTTTGGGATAGTCCCTGGTGTCTTCCTTTGCTTGATGTGTGAGTGAATCCAGTGCCGCCAACAGTTGGGGGTAGGCAGTGCTCAAACCAAGAGCCAAACTTACAATTTTTCCTTAGCAACTTGGGGACATAGCAATATTTATTCCAACCAGACCAAATTGAAAATCTCTATTATAGAGAGTCCATTACCTGTGCACATTGGCAGCACTCCATGCTTTCTGTAGCATTGCATTCTGTGGCACTTTTAGTGCAATTTGCTGCTCTGTTCATTTCAAGCTCTTGGTGGAACAGCTTGTAACATCAAGTAATTTCTTCCAAGCATACAGGAAGCATACAAGATGATCTGGCTAGGAACCGGCAAGCACCCTCTAGAACCCAGAAAAGATACCCTCCTTCATTTAAAATGTATATAAACGGAACGGTGACTAGAAACGAGCGTTCATCACAAAGTTATGTAGTGTGTATGCGTTGGTGTGTGTAGGAGTGTATGTGCATGTGTTTGGGAGTGTAGGTGTGTAAGAGTCTGTGTGAGTGCATTTATTGGAATGAAAAATACAAAACTAAAGAATTTAAATAAATAAAAAAAAGTATTGCCACCTCAATTCACACCTTGTCCTAAAATATAAAGTACCCACACATGCAACATCCCTTATACTCACAAATCCAATATTCCCTATTAATGTTTATATATTTTGTGCACTCCACACTAAGAATAATTTGTTCTTAAGGGGTAAACACTTAATTTCAAACCCTTGGCAGAACAGCTTGAGTCAGGCGATTGCTAGTGCTTGTGGATTTTTTTGATCATTAGCAATGCACTCAGGGAATGAATACTTATTACCTGAGAGTCGGTAGCAAAAAGCAGGTAAGTAGCCCCAGTAAGTGCAATTCTGTACAGGAGCGTTTCTATGGTTAACATTTGAGAAGTCTTCAGTGGAGCAAGGTGCCATCTAAGGTGGTATGGATTTGATCCTATTTGAAATAATTGATGTTTTTCTCTTTAAGTGGATCATCTCACGTGGACATTTAATTTTTCCATCCCATGTCGTGAAGCAGAACATTATTTACCAAGATTTTTTACGTTAACTCAAAAAAACCCAAACAACTGTAGAGTTGTTTAATATCCTGAACCCTGTGCTGGGCCATTAAGAATCTACACTTTTGCTCACTTAACTCCGGTTCCAATCTGCCAATAATTTTATATGTACGTCTTGCTGGCCTAATAGATGAAAATATATAGATACTTTGTTATTATAAAATGAAAACATTAACCGCACATTGGGATCCAGCACTGACTGAATAAAGATATCTTGCACATATGTACTCAGCATGCTATGTAATCTGTCCCACAATAACTTGCTCTCAGTACAGGATGAGGCAAAAGATAAACATGAAACATAAACTGCAGTTACCTTGTGACCATGGAATCTGACAATATGTATTTATTTTATTTTATCAAAATCTGCTAATTTGTAGATTTGCTAGCCATTCTGCAAATTGAATCAATTAATGCTATTCGTATCATAGTCACTTTAAGGACTTTTGCCAAAAAGGGGTTGATGGAGGGAAGGAGCCACGAATAAAAAGTGACATTGCATCTGACACATTTTGAGTTTAAGATCCTCTCAAACCTGCCGTCATTAGGCAGCAATGATGTGCATCTATGAGCTTCATTACAGCATTATGCAGGTCAGAAGACAGCGTTTAGGATCACAACAACTCCCACAACTTCAGGAATTGCCTTATACTTGATATTAGTGTTGCTTATGCTAAAAATATGTAATTTCCTGTAAATTTAAAAATACCCCTTGACAGGCAAATTCCAGCTTAATGCAAAGTTTTAAAAAGCAAAAATATAAAACCATCCTTTTTTATTGATGTAAGTACCAAAGTTTACAAGTTGGCAATACACTGAGCGCCCACTGAGATAAATGTTCCTGCCTATTCTTACTAGTAAACATGACTATTAATTGTTAATAATAAATTATTTCTTAGGATATCCATGTAGTCAGTTTGATAGCTTTAGGGTATTTGTATAAGGTGTTCTATAGTATCAGCTTTGTTATTCACAAATGTTTAGCAGTGTGTTCCATGTCTGTAAATAACACATATCTGGCCAACACACTTTCAGGCCAGAGCAACCTTCTGTGGCAGGGAGGGAGGTCCAGGAGATTCTAGTTTTAGCCTGCACCTGTGTCCCACAGCCCTGGCCACTCTAAGTGCACTGTGCCAAAGTGAAGCAAAAAAAAAGAAACTGCTCTCTTCTTAGCCTCCCACACAATACAGCTTCCATCCGATCTCACATTTACACACACACATACACACACACTTCATCCCCTTTACAAGCGCATACGCTACATTCCATAAACACACACATTTCCTCTCTTACAAACACATGATATGTATGTCCCCTATGCACATACACTAAATTCCCCAAACACACACCACATCCCCTATCATAGGCATGCGCAGCCTATTGCATTAGGGTGTGCACCCTAAAGCACAAACACACGCTGCGTGTATATGTATGTATGTATATGTGTATATATATATATATATATATACATACATGCACACACACACACACACACATACATACACTGCTGTGTGTGTGTGCTGTTAGTGTGCTGTGTGATGGTGGTGTGAGGGTGCTGTGTGTGTAAGGGTGCTGTGTGTGAGGGTGTTGTTAGTGTGATGTGTGTGAGAGGGTGCTGGTAGTGTACTATGTGGGTGAGGGTGTTTGTTTGTGTGTTTGTGAGGGTGATGTTATTGTGCTGTTTGTGTGTATGTGTTTGTTAGGGACCTGTTAGTGTGCTGTGTGAGGGTGCTGTATATGTGAGGGTGCTGTGTGTGTGAGGGTGCTGTTTGTGTGTGTCATGTGTTTGTGAGGGTGCTGTTAGTGTGCTGTGTGAGGGTGCTGTTTGTGTGTGAGTGTGCTGTTTGTGTGCTGTGTGTGTGAGGGTGCTGTGTGTGGTGTGTGTTTGTGAGGGTGCTGTTAGTGTGCTGTGTGTGAGGGTGCTGCGTGTTTGTAAGGGTGCTGTATGTGTGAGGCTGCTGTTTGTGTGAAATGTGTGTGTGTGAAAGTGCTGTGTGTGTGAGGGTGCTGTTTGTGTGCTGTGTGTGGGTGTCGTGTGTTTGTGAATGTGCTGTTAGTGTGCTGTGTGTGAGGGTGCTGTTTGTGTGTGAGTGAACTGTTTGTGTGTGTGTGTGTGTGTATTTGCGAGGGTGCTGTGTGTTTGTAAGGGAGCTGTGTGTGTGAGGGTGCTGTATGTGTGCTGTGTGTGTGAGGGTGCTATATGTGTGTAGGTGCTGTGTGTATGTGGGTGCTGTTTGTGTGCTGTATGTTTGTGGGTGCTGTGTCTGTGAGGGTACTGTATGTGTGAGGGTGGTGTATGTGTGTGTGCTCTGTATGTTTGGAGGGATTGTGGGGGTGGAGGTGGGGGCACATTAGTAAATATCCCCCATCCCTTCTTACCTTATGTAGTGAGAGGGGGATCCTTGCTGCCATGTGCCATCCCTGGTGGTCCAGTGGGGGGTGAACTCTAGCCTGTGGGGCTAGAGTTCACTCTCACAAGATCTGAGCGTTGCCACGGTAACGCTCAGATCTTGCGAGAGGAACCCGGGGAGCTGCTGGCTAGAGCTCCCCGGGTCCTCTCCTGCCTCCCTCCATGCTGCTGTGGTCCGGTGAGGTAGATCTTTGATCTCTCCAACGGCCCATGGAGGCTTAGAGCAGAGCCGGTGCTCGGATAGCGCCGGCTCTGCATGAGCAGACAGGGGAGATCCTGAGATCTACCCTGCCGGTCTCAATCCATAGGCGTACCACGGGGATTAGGGTGTGCCCAGGCACACCCAGTACACCCCGTGTGCACGCCTATGTCTCCTATACAAATACACTTCAGCTCCTATACACATGCACTCACACTCCTCACATCCCATATACCCACACACGCAACATACCCTATTCTCACAAACTCAACATCCCCTTTACATATAAGCTGATGTATATTGTAATTATAGTACTGGTTGTTTTTTTATTTTTTACTGATAAATTTGTTATATTCTAGTGTTACAAAAAATACAGGTATTTTGCATTACAAAAAGAATATGCAAAAAAAAAAGTAGAATGCGACTTCTTGTCTAGCACTGTTAAAACGTAACACTTTGTAATTGAAAGAAAGTCTACCACTGGACCAAGGGGTTTGAGCCCTTAATTTGTGAGGAAAAAAAATGCATGAGGTGTTGATAATATCTAGTTAAAATATAACTTTTATTTGAATATAAGAAAAAAAGTGTGAATTGTCCAAGTTACATATTAAGTTAATCTGCTTGAAATCAATGCAGATGAACCACTAAATTTGAAAAAGTAAGACAGAATAATAATAATCAATACAAAAAAATTATAAATAAATATGACGTTCACAAATAGAGAAACTTTATGACAAACTTACCGTAATTTTTCTTTTCCTGGCTATTTCTCATGACAGCATCACTTAAGGGTAGCTCCTGCCTTAGCAGTCACATGAATTAATTAGATTAATTATTTAGACTAATAGGTATAAATATTCTCTCCTCCCCTTACATCACAGTCCAATTATAAAGCTCAAAAAAATAAAAGAATGGGCGGGAACCCTGATGCTGCCATGAGAAATAGCCAGGAAAAGAAAATTACGGGAAGTTTGTCATAAATTTTCTCTATTCCTGGATAATCATAGCAGCATCATTGATGGGTAATACCCAAGCTCACAGAAATATAGGGTGGGAATAAAGAAACCGAGAAAAAGACACTATACAGACACTAATGCTGCAAAGAAATTTGATATCAGTGGGATAAAGAAACCGTAGACAGAACACTCTTCCCAAAGGAGGTGGAAGAAGAGGCTACTTTCAGTTTGTAGTGTTTTATGAAAGTCATCGGAGAAGACCAGGTGGCTGCTCTGCAAATATCATTGTATGGAACCTCTGCCCAATTAGCCCATGAAGTCCATAATGCTCTGGTAGAATGTGTTCTTATCTTAATTGGAGGAGACTGACCTTTAGAGACATACACTTTCCTGATTATTAGCGAGATCCAACGTTTCAATGTAGATAAAGAGGCCGCCTCACCTCTCCTAGCTCCTGAAGGAAGAACGAAGAGTTGGTCAGTCTTTCTGTATGACTTAGAACGAAGAAGGTATTGAGACAGACAGTTCTTAACATCCAAACGTTGCCCCCTAACTTCTTTACTAGAAGATGGATTAGGATAGGAAGGACCACTTCTTCAGAGAGATGAAACTGAGATAACACCTTAGGAAGATACTCCAGTTTTGGTCTCAGACACACCCAATCCTGATAGATTTGTAGGCAGGAAGTCATGGTAGAAAAGGCTATAATCTCCGAAATTCTTCTTGTGGAAGTAATAGTCACCAAAAACAAAGTTTTGTAAGTCAGAAGGATAGTATCCAAATTTTCAAAGGGAACGAACAGATCATCAGTAAGGTAGATGAGAACAAGAGGAAGGTCCCAAGGAGGGGATGTCTTTCTTTTTCAAGACCCATACCCCCAGCTTGAGGTGTTCTGGATGAGGATGGGAGATTGGAACTTGACTCAGCAGATCCTTCATTATTGGGAGAAGCAGAGGTCGTTCCTGACTCAACTTGATTAAGAGAGGAAACCATGGCCTCTTGGCCAGACCGGGATAATAGCAATAACTTTTTTGCCTTCTGTCCAAACCTTTTGCAGAAATCTGGGTATCATGGGTAGGGGAGGGAACGCATACCCCCGATCGAATGACCAAGGAAAAGAAAGAGCATCCTGGACCATCGCCCAATTGTCTGGATGGAGAGAGTAGAATTTATCTACATGACAGTTCCTGGAAGTCGCCATCAGGTCGATCTGGGGTATGCCCCACCGATGGGAAATCCCTGAGAAAACTGTCGGGTGAAGCCTCCATTCTCCTGGAAGAATTTATGTTCTGCTGAGGAAGCCCGCAGTAATGTTCGCCGAACCCGGAAGATAGATTGCCTTTTAGACCTCGAAGCCTGTTCATGGCCACTTCCATCAAGGGAGCCAGTTCCTTCAAGAGCAATTTGCTTCTTGTGCCTCCTTGGTTGTTCACATATGAGGCCATTGTAATTATGTTCCAAGAAGGTTCCTCCAACGTGAAACCTTCCAACAAATTATGTTAGTGAACATCTTATTTATGTATTATTATTTTTTGTATTAGTTATTATTCTGTCTTACTTTTGCATTCAGTGGTTCATCTGCATTGATTTCAAGCAGATTAACTTAATGTGTTACGTGGACAATTCACACTGCTTTTATCATATTCAATATTCAATAAATTTGATAAATTTGTTATATTCTAGTGTTACAAAAAATACAGGTATTTTGCATTACAAAAAGAATATGCAAAAAAAAAAGTAGAATGCGACTTCTTGTCTAGCACTGTTAAAACGTAACACTTTGTAATTGAAAGAAAGTCTACCACTGGACCAAGGGGTTTGAGCCCTTAATTTGTGAGGGAAAAAAATTCCTTGTCAGATGGCAAGGAACTGGTCATGTCCACGTGGGACAGCAGGAGGCAGCTCGAGTCCTGTTCTTTGGAGTCTGCTGAATTGCAGGTGCAGTCATTTCTGTCCCAGTGCCTGAGAGACAGACAGCATGTATTCTATTTAAAATAAAATGTCATCTATAAATCCTAATCACCTCATAGGGGCTTGTTTTCATCCTCTAGAGAAATACACTTCTCTCCCAGGGTTAAACACTCTCCCTCTCCTGGGATACAAAATGTAAATGGCTGCCCTAACCATCCTTCTACAGAATCTACACTATAAAGTTACATTCAAAGATCAAACAGTATGATTGAATTCTTACAGACAGGTAAAGGGTGAGAGGGGAGAGGATCTAAACACATTTATTCCACTACAGAGATTTGGGCAGGATGAAATGTAAGCATTTTTAGAGATTGTTGGTGTACATACTATGTGTGTCCCTTATACCAACATAATTTTAAAAATTGTGGTGGCATTTTTAGGAAGTTACTCTCCCACAAAGTGCAATCTGATTCCTTACAAATGATACTAATGAGTAAAGCCGGTGTACAGAGCAAAAAAATATTTCATGTCTGCTTCTATGCTAATATGACACTGTCTGAAATATAGTAGGATAAGATACACAATATATAATTAATAAAACTTCCTACCCCGCCCCCCCACCCCCCTAATTTCTGTAAAAGAACTAGTAAATGACAATTTTAACTTTGTACATAATTTACATATTATAGATATTATTGAACATCAGTTCATGCACGAAAACATTGTTATATTTATTCTCTAACCATGCAGCCCATGTTTAAAAAAGAAAACAAAAAAAGTTGTGCTAATTTTCTACATGAAAAGTACTTGATAGTGAAGGGGTTAAACAATTTTATTAGTAGCAGCATTTAGTAGAATGTTTCAAGTAGATTTGATAATAACTGATAAAGTTGTACAGATTCAAATGTGGCATTTAAAGTTCATCTTACAGAGTAAATGTCAGCCCTCTGGCTGTCTCCTCTCCTACCAGATTGTGAATGAAAAAAATCTCAACATTCAGCAATACTTGATCCTTTTCACAGGACATGCAGGGGGAGGGGTCTGGGTGCTTGACACACTCATTGAAGCAACACTAACAGAGAATGTATTTGTGCATGGTGGGTTAGACTCATTATATGTCAATTGCAAGTCCCTCCTATATATAATACGATTTAGCTATCAGAAACCCCCTTACAAAGGGAGCTCACTCACTCCATGTGTGAGGCTGCTGTCTCCTGGCTGTGGTGCTGAAGTGAGTGTTGAAGGCATGTGGAATATCCCAGGCTTGCTACTTTCCTGTGTGATCTGGACTGTGCTGGGGTTCCCCAATGAGTGGACCAGCCTGCGTGTGCATGGATGTGCCCAGGTGTCTATTCTGGGAGCGAACCTTCTGTATCAAGTGTCAGATGGCAAGGAACTGGTCATGTCCACGTGGGACAGTAGGAGGCAGCTCGAGTCCTGTTCTTTGGAGTCTGCTGAATTGCAGGTGCAGTCATTTCTGTCCCAGTGCCTGAGAGACAGACAGCATGCTGGGGGGGACTCAGTCCATGGGGAGTTTGCTAAAGCCAAGCTGGCCTGCCAAATCTTTAAGCTGGCAGACTCACCCTGGGCCAGGGAGGACAACAGACAACAGCATCTACACAGAGTCAAGAGGGGCTTCACCTACCCAGGGACCCTGTGGTGTGGATCTGGCAACATCGCTGAATCCTATGATGATCTAGGTAGGTAGTTTCAGAAGTCTATTCATCATATCCGTGATTTTCATATGTTGAAAAAATACACTCTTTTTGCCATTTGCTGACCCTCTGTGTGTCTCTTTGTGTTTTCCTCTAAGTTCATTCATTTAAAAAGTGTTACTAGGAGTCAGTAATGCAGTTTAACTATATCAATGGCTAAAGTGCTCTTGCCTTTAGTCATCATTGTGTAGTCTGGTGAGGTGACTCACTGTGAGTGTGTATAATATGAAAGGTGTGTTCTATCCTGAGGAATTTGTCTGTGTCATTCAAACAGTGGGTATTGCCAAAGATACATTTTGCAACATGTGTTTAATGTTCCTGAGAAGTGCCAATGTTAAGTAATCATTGCAAAACGTTGCATCCAAAAGGACAGCTGGGAAACTGCATGTAAGTGTGTATAGGAAAATTTCTGGAAAAAGAAAGAAATATATGTGTATTCAGTTATGTACAGAATTGTGTATACTTCATGGATAGTAATATAGATATAAACCACTTTAATGCATCTATCTGTATTAGGTACATCTGTCTACACTTTCTGCTGGCCATTTCATCCTCCTTTGGGTCCATTTCTGTTTCCTCTCCCCTCCCTCCCATCTGTCTCTGTACTCATTTGGCCCCCAACACCCTCTACCTCTGGCCCCTCTTCATCCATTTTTGCTTGGCTTGCTACCTTCAGGAACTTGTGCCCTTTCTCTCCCTCTGCCCATATTTCCGCTCTCTTTGTGGTCAGACTTGGTCTGGTACCTTGCCCAGCTCTCATTGGGTCAGTGTCACCATTCTCCCGCTTCATATGTGCCAAATGTAGTCCCTTCAGTTGTCTTAGACACACATTTTGTTCTCATTTTACAGCCTTCTATTGCCTAATTTAAATATTGCAAGTGTTGCCATTGTGTTGGTTGCCATAACAACATGTGATATTTGGGAAGGTTTCTGTTGCCATGACAGTGTCTGGGCAGACAACTTTGTGTGTTTAGCTAGACAACTAGATAGACAGACTGACAGATATTATTAGGGGTGAGTGCTTTAAAATAACACGCCACACTGGGAAGAAAAATAAACAAAACAATAAATCACAGTTTAGTAAATATAGCCGCAATAAATGCATGCATGTATTTTTTCATAAATGTATTCATTGGGAGTATATCTTAAAATAGCTTGCAAAGGCTGTAGTTCTTATGAACCTTTAGGTATGGTTTGTACCTAACTCTTTTTTTATACTAAACTCTCATGATTCTCAGCCTACATGTGACTAACCTAACCTCCATGGAGCACAGCTCCTCACACTGCCATACTTCCTATTACAAATACATTGAAAATAATACAATCTAAAAATATATATTTGAAGTTCCAAAATGTGCTCCAGACCCCAGACTGTGCAGCTTGTGTTTTCAACAAACCAGGAAGTAAAGCAGCCATGGTTGATGCTGTCTTTTTTTCTATAGCACTGCTGTGCTTATCCTATCAGGAATGCTGTATGAGCACTGCAAGTAGAGATGTAGTTCAGTTATTCAATTCATTCTGTAGGCAGATCCAACAGATGGACTCCAATACAGCAGTATTTTTAGAGCAAAAAGGGTATCACTGAAGGTTGACTGCTACCTGTGACCTTTCCACCTCTTGCTTCATCAGAGAATGTCACCAATAGTCTATTAACATAACCTCCAGTGCTCGAATCATGTTCTGGCTGCAAACGTAGATAGAATAAGCTGTGATCTAACTAATGAACAGACCAGAGGCTGCGGTAGAGTTACATCTCTCTCCGATAAGCCTCTGTGGGCTGATGGGTAACCCTGTACGCATGGCAAATCTTGCAAAATGAAATAAAAATTAGTATCTGTACCAAGACAACCATATACATATTTGCTTAATTAATTATAGGCGGATTTGGTTGTTATTCAGAGTACCTAATTCTCATTCAAATGAGCTTAAGATAAATCTCCAACCCCCTGTACTATGTGGAAATAAATAGAATTAGTCACACGTCAGGGGGTCTTCTCAAAACACCCATGGTTTGATATATTATTGAGGGTTGGACATTTGGAATATGTAAATAGCTGCATATTTTTGCATATCTTTGCCAAATTGACTAATAATGCAAGGGTTATACACAAATGAATATAAAAAGTTAAAAATGAAAAAATAAACTCCAACATAATAGCTGGTAATAAGTGGTAAAAAAAAACCTGTCCAACCTTATTGAAAAACAAATAGAGGAGGATAGTAATCCCATATACAACTTTTAATTCAATTAAGCAAAACCATATTATCCATCAATATCTGTATTAGGAAGAGGTGTGTGTTCACTACAGTTCGTTACTGGTGCAAATGAGCCAGACTATAGCCAAATCTACCAGTCTTCTGCAGCTAATGAAACACAAAATCTAACTCAATTTATAGACATAGTAGCACCACATGGTTTTACGTTATGGAAACATTGTAGCAACTGTCACAGGGTAAAAGGTGAAAATTGTCAGGAATGTTGCTGAGATGATAACAGAGAAAGAGAGAAATCCTTCAACATGTCTTCGAGGGTACCGCGACAAAATTACATTATTCAGCATCTCTAATCCCCAAAAAATCATAAAGCAAAGAAAGTATATCACAACTGTAACAGTACATAGTGAAAAAAGTAGGAACACTATAAGGTCATGAACACAAACATGTATGCCTGACCCTGTAATGTTAAAAAACACTACTTAGCCTCCCTGCCCCCTACCCCCCTTAACCTCCTTAATATAGTAACACCTTACCTTTATTTCAGTCTGCTGCTGCTGCTGCTGGCTCTGCCTCTGACCTGCCTCCTTGGCTGACATTATTACAAGTGATGATCTCAGCCAATCGCAATGCTTTGGATTGGCTGAGATTGTAAATTCTGATGATCTCAGCCAAACAGATGGGCCAGAGGGTGGAGCCAAAAGCCACCCTGGCCAATCAGTATCTACTCATATACATGCATTAAATCAATCATGCATTGAATCTCTATGTGGAACGTTCAGCTTCTCCATGTAGGGGCAGAGACACTGAATGTCAGTGCTGCACACTGTGCAGCACTGTCCCAGGAAGCACCTCTAGTAACCATCTGAGGAGTAGTCAGTGGAGGTATCCCTAGGGGCTGAAAAGACAGTGTTTAAAGCAAAAAGCCTGGGCCTACCGACCCCCTGCAGAGTGAAGGACGTCTATGACCAAGGCACAATCACGCCCCTGACCACTCTGGTCCCGAATACCCCACACAATATGCTCCTACGCTTTAGATATCACCAACTGACAAGGTTTCTGAGAAGCATACCGACCCTAAATTCGGCAACGCGAACACTCTCTGTATTCGAGACCATATGCATGAACCCCCCCCTCCACACGCGATATCGCTACTATATCGCATGCAAACCACCACCACCACTAACGCACCCCTCCCTTACTTCACAAAATACTGGGAAAGGGATCTAGGACACTCAATTTCAACGGAACAATGGACAACGGTATTTACACTCACACATAAAGCCTCCGTCTCCACCAAATTCCAAGAAACAGGATATAAAATGCTCTCCCACTGGTACAGGACACCGGAAAAACTTAGCATGATGAAAACCACAAATGACCCGGAATGCTGGAGATGCGGGAAAGAACTGGGATCCCTCTTCCACATATGGTGGTCCTGCCCCCTTATCCAGCCCTTTTGGGCAGAGATCCACAAGATACTCACAACCATAACAGAAGCAAACCTACCCCTCTCACCAGACACATACCTGCTCCAACTTACACAGACCCCAATCAACAAATTTAAAAAAACAGCACTCCCACACCTAATAAACGCAGCCCGCAGCCTCATCCCGAGACACTGGAAACAACACATGGCCCCGACTATCAGAGAATGGATAACGAGAGTGGAAGACATCAGACGCATCGAGGAACTCATCCACTCCGCAACGGGACGCATACAACGTTACCATGATGCATGGTACCACTGGCTCCAATGGCTCGCCTCCACCGCACCAATTACGGGGACCACACAACACCTGACAGCAGAGGCAGATGGGACGGTCCAGACGGAACAGACGGACGACAATACGGAAGCTGAACCACCGACCCAACCAAACCAAGACGACCACTCAGAGCCGGAGATGCCCCTTGCCCCGGAGGCGGGGGGGGTTGAGGTGGGGACCCGGGACCTGACACCCCACCCCCTACCCTCCCGCACCTTACCCTCACCCGCAATGCCCTCACCCCATTAACCTACACTCCCATCCCACCCGCCCCCCACAACACACGTTAAAATACATGACCAACTGCCGACAGGCTGCCTTGAGAATGCCACCTACACTCGCAGAAACGCCACCTCCCTTACAGGACAGACCATACACCACAGCACCCACAAAGACCCACCATGACCAACACATATCGGACAAGGGATGAACCAACCCAACAAGACTGTCCAAACGCCCAATACCCAAGTGCACTACACCACGATACCAGAACCCACCTAACCCTCACAACCCGGGACAGCACCCGCTCGACCAATACACCCCCGACACTAATAGGATCCCCAAACAGACACAGAAGGACACCAACACAGAAGGGACACCCCAACAAGACTACACCCCGACGCATGACACACACACAGCCACCGCCCACACACATCAAAGAACAGCGACTAGCGCAAAGGGGACACCCACAACAAACGCGCACACAGGACAAAAACTACCTGACGGACCCTTGACCCCCAAACGCCCCACTACTCGACAACCACTCCCTACCCCCCACCCCAACGGATCAGTAGAGACGCTCTCAGGAAGCAGGGCTAGACAAGGTCACAGCAGGAGCACTAAAGTTTCTGCCTTATCGCAGTTTATCTGCTTCCCAACACAAACATACCAATTAATAAAATGACTGAATCTGAGTGTTCTCTATAGCTTTCATGTCTAAAACTTGTGAGAATGGTGAAAATATTCTCTTTCTATTTTTCTAAGACTAGTTCCTTCTTGAAAACTGTCAATGCTGAAAGATGTTGCAATGTAGGAATGGAATCAGATGCTCGCTATTGCTTTGTAAAATTGCTCTCTTCACATAAATACTAACGATACCTTTATACCAAATGAACAATAACTGACATGTACACTATTTTTGCCACCTTCTGTATTGATGCATATAACTTTGTATTGCCAATTGTTATGATGTCAATAAAAGCAAATTGAATGAAAAAAAAAAAAAGCAAAAAGCCTGCAGGGACTGACTATACTCACCAGAACTAATACAATATGCTGTAGTTGTTTTGGTTACAATAGTGTTCTTATAAGCACATGTATAACCAGGGCCGGACTGGCCCACCGGGATACAGGGAAATTTCCTGGTGGGCCGCGGCACCTGGGGGCCTGGAGAGAGAGAGGGAGCCCTGATCTCTATATTTTAATAATATTGCGGCCGCCGGCCGCATGACAGAGGGGTAATAGAGAGACATAGGGGATGGGGGGACAAAGAGAGTGGTAATAGAGAGACACAGGAGAAGGGGGAACACAGAGACAGATGGGGTAATAGAGAGACACCAGGGAAGGGGGGACAGAGAGACAGAGGGGTAAGAGAGAGACACAGGGAGGAGATGGGGAAGAGAGACACACAGAAGGTTTGTTTGGGGGACAAAGAGACACAGTAGGGAAGGGGAACAAAGTGACACAAGATTTGTGGGAGGCAACGCTGGGCTGGGGAAAAAGAGACAGAGAGTGGCTGGGAGAAGAGAAAGAGGCACACAGAGTCTGGAGTTAGAAAGAGACACAGATGAGATTTGGAAGGGGAGAAAGAGACAAAGTGCCTGGGGCTAAGAACAACACAAAAGGGGCTGGGGGAAAGAGAAATACAGAGGCTGGAGAAGGGTAAAAAGAAACACACAGGGACTGGGATGAAGTAAAAGATGCACAAGGGTTGCTGTAAGAGGAAAAAAGGAGACAATTGGAGACAAGATACACTAAACGAGGTAATAGACGTAAATTGATGTGATCCTGACATATATATATATATGCATGTATATTGATGTGTGTATTAGTAACATATAATTATGCCTATAATATTTACACATATAGTAATAGACATTTATATATGCATAATGCACACATAAATGTAATTAATATATATATGTAATGTAATATGTAATGAGCACGTATTGGCCCAGTCTTGTTGCTAGTTGCATACTCATGCATAATAACATATTCAAAGTGAAGAGCGCACCCATAGAACTTCAAAATAAACAAGATCACTTCATTTTTTTTTTTAATTGTGCAACTGCAGACATTCAGCATTTCAGTACAATTACTAAAATGTCCTTAATTGGCCAAAGTAGTCGTACTGAAACATTGATTATATGAAAATGTACGTCTACTTAAAATAAAGGCGCTCTTTTGTTTATTTTTAAGCCCTATATGCGTTCTTTCGTTGGAGTAAGAGTTTTTAATTCCAAGTTATTTTTCACCCTCTATATCAGCACACTATGCTGGCGCGACGCATTATTGGGCTGGTATAGAATTTTTTCCAGGGCTGCTTTTAGTTCCCAGTCTGGCCCTATTTATAACGGTACTGCTAGTGGTTAAGTAACCAACCGGTAAAAAGTAGTAGAGCCAGTCTAAAAGTCACCTCCTTGATAAGCTGGCTGACCAGTGAAAAAATTGTTGGAATTCCGACTCCTCAATTTTACTTGGGAATGATTTTTCTCAGCAACTTTCTTAAAAATTTCAACTTACGCTGTAACAAGCACTACAATACTTCTCTATTTTTAGAACGATGTAGTGGTGACTGTCACGAACGCACCCTACTCCAAGAGTGCACGTGATGTAGTTGTGGTGGTGAAAGGGTTAAAGTTCACTATTTGTCTGCACTAGGCCAGAAACAATGACAAAATGCCTCTTTTAACACCACCCACACTTAAACATAATAATATAACTATTACTATTTTAACGCTTCCACCAGCAAGACAGTTTATAAATGGGGTGCCTTGGTCCCCCAGGTAAATAAATAATAAAACCCACCAAATATTACTTAATACAATACTTAAGGAATTGCAAAAATACTAACTGGTCTCTTCAGGTAACGTGATTCTTAACCAGACAAAGGCAGAACTTAAAGGACCACTCTAGGCACCCAGACCACTTCAGCTTAATGAAGTGGTCTGGGTGCCAGGTCCTTCTAGGGTTAACCCATTTGTTTATAAACATAGCAGTTTCAGAGAAACTGCTATGTTTATCAATGGGTTAAGCTTTCCTCCAAATCCTCTAGTGGCTGTCTCATTGACAGACGCTAGAGGCGCTTGCGTGCTTCACACTGTGAAAATCACAGTGAGAGCACGCAAGCGTCTATAGGAAAGCATTATGAATGCTTTCCTATGCGACCGGCTGAATGCGCGCGCAGCTCTTGCCGCGCGTGCACATTCAGCCGACAGGGCGGATCGGAGGAGGGGAGGAGGCAGAGAGCTCCCCGCCCAGCGCTGGAAAAGGGTAAGTTTTTACCCCTTTCCCCCTTCCAGAGCTGGGCGGGAGGGGGACCCTGAGGGTGGGGGCACCCTCAGGGCACTATAGTGCCAGGAAAACTAGTATGTTTTCCTGGCACTATAGTGGTCCTTTAATAAATTAATGTTTATTATGAGCACAAAATAGTCACAGTGCATATAACAATATATGATAAACAAATTATTTAGAAATTTTGCACGCCCCGCCCACGATCCAATAGGACGGACATCCCAATTCCTGCCACACGGTTTAAGTTGTGCAACTCATGTTTAGGCTTAATTAAGAGATTGGGCTTGTCCCATTTCAAATATAATAAAAATGAGGCTTAATTATTAAACTGTGGGCAAGTATTAATGTTTCTCTTGGATAAAATACTGGAACACAAGGATCTTCATGAAACTAATCCCATTACCATATCAAATGATTGAACTATCCTTTACAAGGTAAATGCCAAATGGATGAAGAGTCATTCAGACTTTTCCCAAGTGTAGAACCTCACACCTTGCAGAGCCTTGATTACTTCACATCCATATAGTGAAATCCTTTTCACATTGCTATGCCATTCACACTACCCCTTCTGTCATCTGACCTCTGTGGGGGTCCCAGCTTCAAAAGATGTAACCCCTTTTGACCTCAACAATACCATCTCTGTAATTTGTGCCAATTACTACACAAATTACATTAAAGGATAATATTCCATAGTGTAATAATAAATTATACACCCTTGCCGTGACAGTGACACTATGCATATACAGTGAGTCAAATTTTGTAGTGAACATATTATTATACAGATGTTGATAGATAGTATATGGATTTCATTAATTGAATTAAAAGTTAAATATTATATGGGATTACTAGCCTCCTCTGATAAATTCCTGTAGAGGTTACTCCCCATTCTGGAGCATCTCTTATTTTTATCACATTATCTCCATTTTTTGTATCATTCCAAAAACCTTAACTACGCATTCTCCAAGGAACTCTGAAATATATCTACATCAAAATCTTACTAACCATTCCGGTAAAAAAGAAATTTGCATAGAGAGTCAAAAGCCAGGAAACAGCGACAAACTATATTAGATTAATTTGATTATTTGATATTTAGCATCTATGGTATTTGGGTAGCTCTTTGTTCTGGATACTTTGAGGTATAAATACTGGAAATGGTGTGACAGACAAGAGAGGAGGCATTCCTGTGACTCTAACCCCATGACTAAAGAGATGTTGGGGGCAAGCATGACTGAAAAAAAGATCAGCTCCACTCAGGGTAGCCCACAGTTAAACATTGACCCTCTCTCGTATGGGCTTAATGTCATGTTGTACAACGGGATAGACTTATGATGTGCTCACATTACCTGGGTGAAAATTCAAAGTGAATTTCAAATTTGCGGCCAGAGTAGCCAAACTGAAAGCACAGCCGGCAAAACTTAATTTTTCCATTTTGAATATTTTTACCTTAAATTTGAAATTCTCACATTAGTGAATAACCCCCTGTGGTTTTGTGACATTGTCTCTGGTTTCCCTAGAAAGAAAGAACTTACACCAGTCAACTCAAACTCTCACGATTCTCTGGCCATCTATTGCATTCAAAGAATTCTGGGAGTTCTAGGCCAAGTGTTTGAGAACCCTTGTTTGGAAGCACTGTGGAAGTTCTGTATTGGTGATAACTGCAAGCATTCCTGATCACTAGTGATTATGGGTCAAAAATTCCCTCGTCATCTATTCATTTATTCAGGAAACGATCCGCCATGGATGAAGCAGGATTACTATTAGTTATTTAGGAACTTATTGTTGCATAGGACTAGAGGATGATATCTCAGCAGTGAGCTACATATTGGGTGCATGGATGTGTAATTTGGAAGTGACATCACCCATAGCAGCACACTAATATGTCTGCCAGGTACTGTTAAAGTTATACCGCAAGATAAACCAGCTGCTTCAATGTACCTAACGCTCCAGGCACCATAACAACTACATCTAAGTTGACGCTCTCAGCCAATCAATGACTCCCCATTCACAAAACTGGCTTTGAAAAGGTATGTTTTTTTCCAAGCCAGTTTTGTGAATGCGGCTCTCAGCTAATCAGCGGCACCCCTGCCTGTCAGCACTCTGCTTTTCCTGAAACGGTTTAACCCCTTGAGGTAAGAGTGCTCCCTGGGGTCTCCTGGCACCAGAAGGCACCATAACCACTTTATTTAGATGAAGTTGTTATGGTGCCTAAACTGCCCCTTTAACAAAAATTCCTGGCATTCTGTACGTTTCAATAGACATACACTTCACAACTTTGTACTGCAATACCCATCATCCTCAGAAAGCCATGTCATGATGTCATGAGATGGACAATTATCCGCAAGACGGAGAGAAAGTCAAAGCCTGTGAGGCAGAGAGAGATTTTTACCCTAGAGACACCTAAGTTAACTTGTCTTAATCTGTTTTGCTTTATCTAGTGTCTTGAAAGGGTTTGGAGTCCCCACACACCTCTATCGGGGGAGGCACCTTTGGAGCGCATAACCTACTAAACACTTATGTTAACAGCTGTATCCCATTTTCTGTGTATATATACCACTTTAGGAAAACCTCTTGCATTTGGCAAAATAATAACAAATTGTAATTAACGCTAGCTCCTACATAACGACAAAACAATAGAAAACTGTAGTGATTATGGTGCCATGAATCTCCTGACACCATCTCACTGTTAAAGGGTTGTTCCAACCAAATAATAAAAAAAGCCAACTAATAAAACACAGTTTTATCGGGTAAAAGCAATCCTTTACAAATTGCAAATTACAAATTGAAGAAAATACTTACCTTGAAACCAGTACTGAGGCCAAGTTCTCCCCGCAGCTTAATCCTCGCTCTGTGACATAACTCCCTCTCAATCTAGGAGGAGGGATATCCCAACACAGGTCTGAGGGAGGACTTAGGCCCAGGGTTGTATGGAGCAGGGTGCCATGCTGCCATTGATGACGGACACCTTCTGTGCATAGATTTAGATTATAGATTAGCCCAGTCTGCTAATGACAGAGGGGAAGTTGCACCTCCAGCAGTCAAGTATCTTCGTATTCACAGTGCACATACAGACTCCAAAAACTGTGACCTCCTTAAATCACTAAAGTGGTCATGATACCTGGAGTAATCCTTTACGAGTCAAACCGTCATTAAATGGTTTGAAGGTTCCCTGGGGTCCTGCTCCTCTTCACAGGTATTGCTAGAGAACCCAGCTACTTCTGCACTACTGATATCAATTCCATCTATCTTCAGATGGAATGTATTGGCTGAGAGTGTCAAACTACTCTCCTAAGTTAATGAACTGATTTAGCAAGTACAGAAAAGGATCTTCCACTTTAGCTACATCTGTGAACATATACTGTCTCTCTCATTAGGCAGTATGTTAAGAGACTGTAAATGGCAAATAATCCACAAAACAAAGTCATTTATTAGAGCCATTCATAGAACTAAGAAAATGGACCTTATTATACACAGTATGCACAATATGATGAATAAGACAGGAAGATACTCTTTGACCAGTGGGTGTAGAGAGGATATTGGTGTGGGTATCATCCTTGAACCTTTCAAACAAAACAATAATATGCAATCACAGAGCTGTGCAGCTACGGCAACATTGTATGGTTTAAAAGACTCTATTGTCTGTAAGTGGCAATTTATTCTATGATTCCATTGTTTAATTGATTCTTCTATTTCTGCAGGAGAACATAAAGAGACTGACACATGCTGCCGGACACATGACCAGTGTGAACATGTTATCCACCCGTTCTCATACAATTATGGTTACAGAAATCTCCGCTGGCACACCATCAGTCACTGCCAGTGTGACACCAAGTAAGTCCAATGTGATCAGGTTCATGTTTTCTAATATCTGCAACCCAGATATCATAAATGATACTAAACCTCTAAATAAGACTTGTTCTTATATGGCAGAACCAGCTATTAAAATGTTGCACGGGCCATGTAAATTAGCCGGCCATTTCTGCAAATACATGTGACAATTTATTGTCAGTATTGTTTGTTTTTTAAATTGTCCATGTGCCTTCAGACAAATCACGATTCAGGAGAAACCGAACTTTGCTAAAACTAAAGAAATAATTGTAACGTGTTCTTGGAGGGGCCTGCTTGCCAGCCTCCTGCCTCAAAACTATGGCCCCCTGCAATAGATCTGGCTAAAATACTTCTAAAAGGCTCTGTTAGTGCAATTGGGATTATATGGTTCAGTTCCCGAACAGCCGCACGAACCAGAGACCACCCGGGAGCTTGTTAAGCCTAATGGACAATTTGTAACACTTCCCACCGCAGTGTTCTAAGGGTTCGTCTGGGTGGTCGTTGTTCGCATGAACGACCACGAGGTGACGGCCATCTTGTTCCTGCGAACGCAGGCAGCGATGTTTGGTCGTTGAGTTCATGGAACTGTTTACGGACAGTAAAACCGCAAGACTTCCAGGATCGCCTGCGTTCAGTTTTACACAACTTCGAAGGGCACTGTTCGGTGGAAACGTTCCCACGAACAAGGTGAACCAGCTCCAAGGTAACAACATTGACTATGTTCGGTAGTTTGTTCAGTTTTTAAACTACCGAACTAGATCGACTACAAGCACTGATTCTCTGGTACTGTTTTGGGCATGGGAACCGATCTGGGTGATTTTTGGATATGTTGGTCACCCAGATCGGGGCTATCAGGGGATGTTGGGGTTTTGTGTGTTTAAAGGTATTTTGGGGGTTTTGTAAAAATGTATGTTTTCTGTGCCTGGAGATAATTGAGTTTAATAAAGTGCTTGACTCAATAATCTCACAGGCACAGAGGAAGGATTACCTTGTTTTATGTGTCCTGGACCTGAGAGCCAATGTAATTGTGTGTATGTTTTTACTCTAGTCCACTCTCAGGTTCAGGGGGGAGTACCCCTTGCACGGGGACCTGCATATGAGGCCAGTTGTGGCTGCCATTAAACAGTTCCTGCTTACCCTCAACATAGAGTCTAATTTCATGTTTGTAGGGAACCGCTATACCTGCTACAATCACCAGCTCCTGTAAGAGCTACACTGCTATAATGCTATACTCTCTTGGAGGAGAGGTCTTCTCACTGGGAGCTAGATCCAGGAGTTTGGTCCATGGTGAGAAGGGACGGCGATACCCCAAGCTGCGGTGCCTATGGTACTCGGCGACAGCTAGGAAGCAGCTATTGGTGGAGGCACCCAGTCGGGGTGCCAGGCGGTCCGCCACAGGCATATTGCATGGATGGGACACATTTACTTTAATTTTCCAACCATTCATTCCAACAATAGCTTTTAGAAAATCACTGAAGTTCTTGTTTAAATAACCCAACCCACACCAGGTTTATGGCCATTTCTGAATCTACCCAGGTAATGATAATCGCGTTATGCTCTAATATTTATCAATTTGCCGGGAAGGGGACAGAATTAAGATGAACAAACAGCAAATAATGTAAAAGTGCCAAAAATGCAACCACAATACCATGTGCTCAAATAGATGCTAGACAAGAATCAAACCAAAATACAAATATGTGGATGCCATTCTATATTTGCATTTAGACAGAATTAGTGTAACTTGCAGATGATATTCTGTTGGGGGAGAAACATAAACTATAGCAGCTAAATAGATAAATGAAAAGTACCAATTGCTAGGAGCACTATAATTAAGATTTCATGACTTTTCTCATGGTACTTTTCCTTATCGATACACATTACAATCAGCGAGACATGGATGGGTTTTACTGTGTCTCTGGAATGAAATCCTTTTTCTCACATCTGCTAAAACCCCCTGAAATATTGAAAGAAAATGAACCAGTTAATTGGAATTTAAAAAGTGCCTCTGCACTTAGACAAAACTCTTGGAAACTCCCTTTGATAAATGTGATAATTGTCTATTAAACGTAATTCTTATTTTGTAATATTCCTGTTATATGGAGGGCACAAACCAGTAAACGTAACTACCAGACTTTGAGAAATAGGTTTGGGGGATTTTGCTGTTTCTATATATGTAACCCCTCTCAATTAAAATACTTATGCGTTTGCGCCATTGAGGAGTGAACCGCGTTAGGCTAGGTTTGTGGGGGTTGCGCATTGAAATACTGTTATGGACTATTTTAGTGGAAATAATCATAATGATAATAATAATAAAATAACTCATACTGACTCAGTTGGAACTCAATTGAGATTTTTTTTCATTGAAATTCGAACGCAATGCACAGTTATGAGACAAAATAGGGAATACTTTGTCTTATGGTAAAGCCTTAAGATGACAAAAGTTGACAAAACGTGGAGCTCTGCCGTTAACTTTTGTAAAATCTTAGCAGTCGTCACAAGCAGCATATCTAAGAATCATGCATCGTCTCGCTCATTGTTGACCTCGGTGTTGCACTGATGGGGATCCTAGCAAATGGAGTGCAAGGAGCTAAAAAACGATCCCCTGGACCAACAAGATGGCAGCAGTCGCAAGCAACATCTTCAGGTAAGTATAACTATCTTTCACTGCACCCCATAGCCACCAGACCCAAATTGGAGATTTCACCTTCAGGGTTCTTTACAAAATATGGGAAGACCCCTGAAAATGAAAGATCTACTTTAACATGGCTTGTAGATGTGGCTTTAACTTAATATCCTTCTTGTGCAAACAGTATATTGGATACGATTTTACAATTGTTTGGTTGAAACGGCAAACTCACATGGGCATATACAACACGGCAATAACATTTTAAATATGTTTCACGTTTCTATCCCCATCCTGATCATTTTATCACACAAATTCTTTGCATGGCATCAGCTTGGCAAGCCACTCTAATAATTATGCAATAGATACTAAAATAAATATTTAAAAAAAACTTTGTAACCTTCAGAGATATCTGCCCGCCGCTTGGAATGTTTAAACAGTGCTTAGCCTACTGTCACATAGTGTAGTTATGACTCCACAGAATATCTAAATACACACAGCTTTGTATTTAGTCTTTGTCTGTACAGACATCCGGATGCTTTAACAGCAGCTCCTGTTAAAAACACAATTTTAAAGCTTATTCACAAAAACCTGAATTGTCAGGAATTAAATGTCAATGGATGAATTGCGGCAGCAGGTGAATTGGAAACAAAACTCGGTTATTTTTCCAGTTTGACTGCTTTTAAATTCACTTTAGTGTAGGTATCTAGATATGGTGACTGTTGCCAGGAAAGATCAACACATATTGACGAGTACAATAAAAGGCACTGTGTATAGCAGAGGCTGCCAACTCAGAATACAGAACATATGTGCTTATCCTTCTTTCCTGGCTAATCATGGCAGCATTTAACATATGGGTTTAGCACCTCCCTCTAACCTTCAGGACAGGAAACACAAACAATTAAACAATTAATCATACCTTCCCCTGGTATAATAGGAACCCCATCAGCCATCACACCTCAGTCTTTTTTCCTGTCCTCATAGCCCTAAGACAGTTGTTAATTTGTTCTCTCCCTGAATTTCTACGGTTAAAACTTTTTTTTATGCTCACCTGATCATGCTGCTATGATCTTCACCCTATGGAGGTCAACCTCCCTCCACAGGAAGCCCAGGCACATGTAGCCCTTTCTCTGCATGAGTGGGGAACCCTTGGGAGCCATGGTGGGTAGTCCCCCTGGCATCTGGAGCCTGTGTTCACCAGGATAAAGAATCCAGACCTTGATCAGATGATCATCCGTCTGGTAAGATGCCCGCGCATGTGCAATGGCAACGGCCATATTTTCGGCATATTTGCCCTCATCCAAGATGGCGGAGCTGCGGACTTGCGGCTAATCGGCGCATGCATGCCTCCTTAAAGGCAAAGAGCTGGAAATTTGAAAATGGCGTTTTTTCCAGAAATTATCTAGTGTTTTCAGTTCCTTTGGTCTTACACTGCTCTCTAAGTGCCTTATTCATTCTCTGCAGGTATGTTTTATGCTTTAATTTACATAATAACACTGCTCTTTCAATGAAATGACCCTTTCATCTGGTGTATGTTTTTCCCCCCATTCCTCTCATTCATGCTGTGCTGAGGAAGATTTCCAGAGAACGTTGCAGAGTGATTACTGTAATCCCTTTCTGGCCGAGACGTCCTTGGTTTCCTCTTCTGAAGAGGTTGGCGATAGAGGAACCTTGGGAAATTTCGGTCACAGAAGATCTCCTGACACAAGGCCCAGTGGTTCATCCAGAACCTTACAAGCTCAGGCTTCATGCATGGCTTCTGAAAGGCAATCCTTAAAGGAACAGGGTTTATCGGACCAGGTGGTCTCTACCCTTTTATGCTCCAGAAAGAGCTCCACTTCCTCTACCTACCACAGAATTTGGGAAGCCTTTGCGATATGGTTAAATTTAACCGTGCAGAACATGAGTCCTCCTACGATCTCTCAAGTCCTGGGTTTCCTACAAGCTGGCCTGGAGAAGGGTCTTAGTCTTAACACCCTTAAAGTGCACTGCTCAGCTATCTCTGCTCTTTCTGGCATTCGATGGGCACTTCATCCTATGGTGGTTCGCTTTATCAAGGCTGTTTTATGTATTAGACTTCCTATTAGACAACTGGCGGCTCCTTGGAATCTGCCTCTGGTGCTTCAGGCTCTCACAGATCCTCACTTCAAACCTATTGGCGAAATTCAGATGCACATCCTTTCTCTGAAGTCCCTATTATTGCTGGCTCTAGTCTTTGCTAGAAGGATGTCTGACATCAGAGCTTTATCAGCCGAGGAACCTTACACTTCCTTCTTCGATGATAGGGTCATTCTCCGCCCGAGACCTGAATTTCTTCCCAAGGTGGTTACACCTTCCCATCTCCAACAGGAGATTGTCGTGCCTACCTATTTTCAGCATCCTTCTACTCCTGAGGAGTTAAGGTGTAAATTGCTGGATCTTAGGAGATGTTTGCTGATGTATATAGAACACTCAGCTGCTTGGAGGAAATCCTCTAAATTATTTATTATACCTTGGGGTTCTCGTAAAGGGGAAGCCGCTTCTGTCTCCACTCTTCGTTCCTGGACAGTATCTGCGATTTCCAAGGCTTATAAAGCTAGGAATGTTCCTGTTCCCAAAGGCATCAGAGCTCATTCCACAAGATCCATTGCTACCTCATGGGCTGCAGAGTCAGGTGTTCATGCAGAGAGCATATGTAAGTCATCCCTAAAGACCTTTGTGAAACACTACAAAGTGGATGTGGCTTCTTGCTCGGGTTCGGAGTTTGGCCTGTCTGTCATGAACTCATTTAATCAGAGCTGATTTATTTATTGAACTATTTTGTAGCATGTATTTACCTTCCTGCGTCATTATTGCTTGGGGAATCCCATATGTTAAATGCTGCCATGATTATCCAGGAATACGGAAAATTTATTCATACTTACCGTAATTTTCTTTTCCTGGCTATTATTCATGGCAGCATTTGGTTTTCCCACCCTCTTTTTGGATATTCGTCTTGTTACTTGACTGAGGTGTGATGGCTGATGGGTTCCTATTATACCAGGGGAAGGTATGCTTAATTGTTTAATTGTTTGTGTTTCCTGTCCTGAGGGTTAGAGGGAGGAGCTAAACCCATATGTTAAATGCTGCCATGAATAATAGCCAGGAAAAGAAAATTACGGTAAGTATGAATAAATTTTACGTATTAGTGTTACCTCCTAGCAGCAAACAAAAGGTTAACTAGATAAAACAAAGTATGAAACCAGTAAATGAATCAGTGAACAAGATTCCTGACATGCCCCTCCCGTATTCTCCTCCTTGCTGCTGCCTCCCAGGTGAGTCTGTTTCAGTTTAGTTTCCTAATTGCGCTTTCTTTTTCTTAAATGTTGTTTCTCTTCTAGCTCAGTTTTTTTTTTTTTTACTTTTCCTATTTCTCTGCCTGGTTTCATCCTACTTGGCTCATGTATTTTTCTTGTTATTTCCCTTCCATTTTTCAGTAGCACTGGGTCTAATATTTTTTTATTTTTATTTTTTTTTTTGTCAATCTGTATTTTATTGAGGCATATTAGATGGGATACAGAATAGAGAGAGGGAAATGTGCATTTAGAATACAGTACAGGGCTCAATAACAGTGGTATCTAACATTTCCTTAATATTTGTACCTCTTTTTTATGTTTTATGGTTTAACGTTGCTATTGTAAACAGGTTTAGGCAATATGCAATTCAAGTCGCTTAACATTAACTAGTTAAAATAGGTTAAGTGAACAAGTTTTGTATAGGGTGATTGCGCAGGCTCAGTAGTTCCCTGTTGTGTAGAATTAACTCAAATAATAATAACACGCTAACATAATAAGCGATTAACTGCTTGCAAATACTAACAAACCTATATCCCCGGGCACCCCCCACTGCTATCTGTCATACGTGCGGTGGTATATGAGCAGACAGGCTAACGTCCCGGCTCCAGCAAATACCTAGAACATGGATGCCCTGTGTGAGGTGAGACAAGGAGCTTGCTAGATTTGTCAGGTTATGAGATGTGTCACAAATAGATAGGAACAACACAGGGGTTCCACTTAGTATTAAAACATTGTTAATCTGGTTTATGATGTTACCACTGCTTGGGTGAACAATTATTCTAACATGGTAGTATCTTAGCTAGGCATTAGGTTCTACTGCATGTTTTAATATATATATATTGATGTCGCTTTTAAAGTATTTTCTCCAGTTTTGCTCAATTGAGCAGGTGAGGTACACGTGTAGCTATGACAAAACTGCATAAAGCAGCATATGATCTGCACTAGGGCTCAGGGTCATTTAGTGTTAGGTAAACAGGCTAGGTAGGGAGACAGTTAGAGTGCCATTGGTTACTAGGCTAGGAACATGTATAGACATATATAGTGACATGACATCTATAACCATGGGTTATTTCTGCAAGAGATGTCCCTGTGGGGAATTTGGGAATAATCAGGTTCCGTGTGTATTGGTCCCCGGATGGTAGTTATGGGGGTTATAGTCCCGGTAACATATAGATAAACAATAGTTTAAACATAAGATAAAGCAAACACTTTGCTCAATGAAAAGTATATGTTGGTTCTGCATATTTTCAAATGGTAGTTATGTCGAGCTAGGTCAACTATACAGGCTAGTGACTTCAGGCTAGAACGTGCCAGGCGGGTGTGCCTGGGAGTAAACCGGTTATTTAAACATTGAGTCTCGCATGCATTGAGACCGTTATGCCACTGGGTCGTGGGCCTGGGCATAGGGGACTGTGCATCTGAGTAAGTCAAAATTATAAGCAACTAAACAAACAAAGCCTAGCTAGTTCCACCTCGTTGGGTAAGCTGTAAATTAGCTTAGGTTACACTTAGGTGAGTAACTAAGGAGACATACAGTTATTAATACTTTGCTAAGTCTTATGCGGTGAGGCTTAGGCCTGATGTGTCAGTTGCAAAGCTAGCACTAGTTTTGATACCGGTTATAACACTTGCAATGATTAGTAGGAGTCCCGGGTGATGGGCATTGCAGTTGTCCGCTTGAGAAATCAGCCAACGCCACAGGGTGGGATGGCGGTGCAAGAGTCAAGGGCCAGTTCATCAGGCATTGGGGGGAGGCCCCCTCTAACCTGCATTCGGCTAGGAGGTTGTCCTGCTTTTCTTGCCTGCCCATTCCGACCAGCCAGTCGCTTTATCCTCCTTGTTGCGTTTCTTCTCCTATCACTCCCGGGTGTTTTCGCATATCTTCGGCCCGAGGCCTTAGTGGGGGCCCTTACCACATGTCCATTGGCCCCATCAACAGGGTCGTGGGCCCAGGGTTCCTCCGGGTCTCGGTTATCTCCCTGGGTGTATGGGTGGTGGTGGAGAGCTACCTCCCGGTGAGCTCCCGGCTCGGAAGAAGAGTGCGGTCGGGTACCGGGTGTGCGGAGTGTTCGCAGCACTCCGTGGTTACGGTTTGGGGCTAGGTGACCTCTCCTGTGGTGGCTTTTGTGCGGATGACGTGTCCTCCTGCGGCGCCATCTCGAGGCCCTGTGTGGGTTAGGATCAGTTTGTTTGCGGCTGTGTTGCCTGTGTATCTCGTTGTTCAGGCATTGTATTTGTTGAATCTGCTTTGCCCTGATCTCCAGTTTCGCCCAAAAGGCCTCAAATATAGCATGTAGTCTGGCCGCGCAATCCGGCGCTCCTGTATGGCATTCCGATGTCTTGCACAGTGTGCGTACCGCCGCCATTTTAGGTGTGCCATGTGCTCGGTTGTCCTGGCGTTGCTGCTTGTTACTGCCCCTCCAGTTGCTTAATGTGGACCGAGATGACCCCCGTCGGTCCATAGGGGGGGGGGTAGGAGGTGAGTGCCCAGAGGTATCCACGTCCAGGTCAGTCAGCGCGGGGAGCGGCCGTCTCCCCGCAGCTCGATCTCCGGCAGGCCTCGGGTTATATGGTCGGGTCCCCGGGGGGTTGCATGCTTGGTTTTGGTATCGGGTGAGTCCCCCGGGTGTCCCCGTCATGATAAATGCTCTCCAGTGAGGGATTGTGCCAGTTTTTGGGGGGATTACCCCCGAAAAGTGCAGGATTAGGCAGGAGCTGAGATGCAGCACAACCTCTCAGTCTGGGTGCTAGGCTCCGCCGGGTCTAATATTTATTTCCTCTCTCCTTTACACTCTGCCTGCGATCATCATGGGTGGGGTGGTGCCCTCTCTTTCGGTTTCGGTTTCTCCTCAAAAAGACTACTACAGTCTTTGCTCCTCTATTTCCCATTACCCACAGATCACCTTCACGCGTCAGCAATTTTTTTTACCCATTTACAGTGCTGCTGGACTCTCATTCGGTTTGTTCCATCAAGCACTCCTACATGGATTATCTACTAGTGGAGTGGAGTGTGACCCACCTCGTATTCTTTTGTGGCCCTGGGTCTGGCCTGGAGAACAATGGTGGGGTGACCACCCAGATTCCAGTTTGGTTTACCCTTTTTTTTATGTAGGTTATCCTGCAAAGGCTGAAGAGGGTGAAATCACCATCCATGAAGGCATGAAATCCTTGCCTTATACTGTAATCTCCGATTCATTGCCCAAAGCTCTGGTGGATTTCCCGAATCTTCAATCTTTCACAACTCCATTTTCTGCTCCTCTATCTTCCTGTAGACCACAGGAGTTGGATTCAGATGAATCTTGGCACTCCAAAGCTGGACCTTCTCAGCAGATGTGTCCCTGGAAGGGTGAAGGCTTTGTGACTTGTAAGGGTAAAGACCCCACCAAACTTCCTAAATGGTCTTCTAAACCTGTCCTATGTGAATCCCTGGAACCCAAGACATTACAAAAGGTATGCTCATGCAGGATTATGATCTGCTAGACATATAAAGTGCCGGACAGTGTGATGAAGCTTGAATATAAAGAGACAGACACTGATTTTGTATGAGAAACTGTGGTAGATGAGCCCCCCCCCCCCCCTTTGATCCATCAGCTTCTTCCACCAAACCTCAGTCTGGCAGTGAGCCTAATATCCAAATATTGGATGAGGACATGGCCCAGGTAGAGGACTTGAACAGGGCTTTAAATCAGTCCAGGATCAGATCTTTCTAGTAGTAGATGACGTTCTAAATAGTTGTTCTCCGTTAGCAACAAGCTGCAGTTTACACCTCACTTAATAAATATCAGGTGTCCTTGAAAAAAGTGTTAAACACACCTTGTTTTTCATCTGGGGCTGATCGACAGAAAGGCTGAGTTGTCAGATAAACCAGTATCCCCAATACAAGGCTTTGAGTCTAAGACATGATGTAGGCCAACACACCCTGGTTGCGGCAACTGCCCTTCTTTCCCAGGAGTGCCGTCTGCAGACAAAGATCATTCTCCTATCATTGCAGATCTAATGCGAGTGAGTTCAGTTTACCATATTCCTATGACAAGTAAATTTATTTATTTTTTAAATCAGTGGGCTTGGACTCAACTTGCATCGGACGCCTGGATTCTTCAGACATGTAGACATGTGCAATTCATTTTGTTCTGAATTGAACTTCGGAAGATTCTACAATTTAAAAGCATCAGAATTTCCACAGAAACTGAAAACAAGCGGGATCAATTCTTTTTACCACGGGTAGCAAATTAGGGAGTTATCAAGTGAAAGAACAAAATTAAGAAAAAAGCTTTTCGTTATTTTGAGCTTTCAGCTGTTTAGGAGATAGCTCCCTAATTTTCTATCCTAACATGACAATTCCACATTTAAGGATATCAAATTAGGGAGCCATCTACAAAACAATAGAAGGAGCAAAATTCTGAAAAGGACTTTTCTTAATTTGAATATTTCACCTGCTTAGTAGATAGTACCTTAATTTGCTATTCTTACATGGGATTGCTATATTTAAGGATACAAAAGTCAGAGAGCTATTTACTAGACAGCTGAAAGATGAAAATTAAGAAAAGTTATTTTTGAATGTAGATCTTTCAGCAGATAACTCCCTAAATTGGTACTTTGAGATTGCCACCTTCTTTCATTCCCCATAGGGAATAATGGGCATCTGATTTTGGAAATTAGCTAAATTTTCAGGCGAAATATGGTTAGTTCAAATTGATATTTTCTGAATTTTATTCTTCTGCAAGAATTACTTTGCGAGAGAGACTGTTCCCTCCTCTTCTGGGACGACAAACTTTGAAAAATCACTTGCATGTCATTCGTCCTCAGCTTAGCATAATGATGTTTCACAAAGCTCCAATACCTGGTCATGGCTTTCATCCAAGAGAGAGAGATTGGTTCCATCATCTATCTTTTATTATTTACTCTTGGTTTTTTTCAAGAATCAGACTCTCTTTGTCATCCAACTCCTTCAAGATTTGAGTCTGAACTCACTTCGGTTAAGTTCCTGGGTTTTTGATTGACTCTGTCTGGTCAGTCTTCAAACTTCCTCCTTCAAATATTGCTACCTTCAAGAAAGAAATCCTGAAATTGCTGCATTTGGAATCTATCTATCTCCACGGTCTGGCCAGAATTATCTTTCTCCTCCTTCCATACAGGCTATATTTCCAGGTCCCTTTCATGACAGGGCTAAGCAATGACTCAAAAGTCATCTTTGCTGTATGATCAGATGATTCTCTTAACAGACTAAGTACATTTTATGCACGTTGGATTTGCTGGCTCCTTTCCATAGCTGGATTTGATCCTCCCTTTGGTCCCTATTGTATGCAAGGTGTGGCAGCTTCCTCAGCGTTTGAGGCTGGAGGTACTGTTTTTGATGTTTTATCTTCAACGTATTGGGGACAGGAATATTCTGCACTTTCTACTTTCACCCTCATTTGCACGCTTCTTTCCCTTTTTTACCTGAGCATTAAAATTGCAAATATGAAGCTCCTTGTCTTGTATTAAAATGAGAGATTATCTTGGTATTTGTAGTCTATAATCTCTAGCTATTAATAAAGACATGAGACAATATTTTTCACTCTTTCCCGTACCTTTTCTGATTCTCCTCCCCCCGCCTATTTTTTTATATTGTGTTACTTATTACTCATCAGATATTATTGTTTTGATATTCTAGTTGATGAGTGTTTGCTTATTGCATGGTTTTCTCTAAAGTCTAAAATGAATACTTTTTTCTCTCCTAGAGTGAAGCCGTTTTCACCTCACTGGTATCAAGCCAGGATTGTGCTTGTTTCTCTTCATTTTGTTTGTTATGTACTGTTTCTGAAAGTTCTATGTTCATCATGTTTCACCATCGTCAAAAATAGAAGATATGGGAGGGGGATGACAAGAGTTTTGTCCATTGATCTGTTTTCTGATTGGTTACTTTGTTTTAGAACGTATTTGCTGCTCTGACATAACAGTAAAGAAGGATAAGCAAGTATTCACCCCCTGTCTTTACAAAAATTAGACTATACTATCACCAAGGCCAATATAATCTCTAATGCCCATTGTTTAGAGGATAATTATTTGTTTTAAACTGAATATATTCTGACATTTCTGTGATCTTATATTTCAGGCTTATTAAATATATTAATGTTATTGAAGAATGCAATAGTTTGCAGCACAATATCCACCATTTGCTGACTTTTGTATAACTGTCCATTTGTGTAATGTTTCCTCTGCTCTCCACTTCCTTTAGGTTTAAGGAGTGCCTTCGCCGGGTAAATGACACAGCATCTCGGGTAGTGGGACAGACATTTTTTAATGTGATCCAAGTACCATGCTTTGAGTTTACACATAAGGAGCAGTGCTCGGACCGGACCTGGTATGGCTGGTAAGTTCAAGTCTAGTATGTGCACTAATTTATATATACATCAGGTGAGAGTCCAGGCATTCTAATCATTAATAAACTACATACATAATTCTCTTACATGCTGTGTGCACAGTGCCTGCTGATCAGATTGTTATAATGGGCGAAATATCAGATGTTTTGAACCTAGTAAATCAGTAATTTTTCAATTAGCTAATCCTTATTAAGATGACTATGAATTGTAATAACTAAATAGCTGTATTTGTGTGGCAGTGTGAATCTTTGTGTGTTGTGTTTAAGAGAGAGAGAGAGAGAGAGTGTGTGTGTGTGTGAGTGTGGTATTGCATGGTTGCAAAAGACCTGGGGGCTTCAGCCCAATTGTAAATTTTATTATCAATCCCACATATATTGACATTTGCCCCCCAAAACTCCACTCTATACCCTAAGTCCACCCCTATTCCCTAACATGTTCTGTGCATCACATTATGACACCAAATATTTAAAAGAATTCAGAGTATTATACTTGTACCCACTGCTTTAACACCCTGGAGCACAGCAATACTCTCAATTTGTGTTGCCTAGTAAACAAATAGGATGCATTAAGCTGGCACTATGAAAAAGTATGTAATTAGAGGTGTTAATGCTTTCACAATATTACAGGGGACTTAGGGCTAACAATTAAAGGGTGCCAAAATCAGACATTTCAGGACCCCGCTCAGGGATTCAGTCTCAAACAACCCCTATAACAATGTCCCTGTCTGTCAGTGTGTAGCAGTGTGTGTTTGTGTGTGTGTTTCTTGGAACATGTATTATATGTGTCTGGGAGTATGTATGTCTAGGAAGATGTGTGTGTTTGGCTGTAGGACAGCACAATGCTATTGTGAGAGGTCCCATGATTATTTTTATGATTTCATAGATAATCAGAAGATTACCCTACTAAATTGTGATTGTTGTTTTGTTTTAAAGGTGTAAGACATACATCAATGAAACAGTTGCTGTTTCTAAAGAGTCTGGGCTGTTTGACTACGGAGGACAACTTATTGACCACGTTTACAAAGAGAAGAATCCCACCACACCACCATATGAGGAGCCTTTAACAGAGAGACCCACTCTGGGAAATGTCATACAGGCCACAGAGGATTTATTGAAGCTCATGATGACAGTTACCCCAAGCACAACTTCCGATCCTTCAACTGTTAAGACCAGCACCCAGAAAAAGAAAGATAAGAAGAAAAAGGAAAGAAAACACAAAAAAGGGAAAGGCCTCAAGGGTAAAAGGGGGAAAGGTCTTAAAGGAAAAAAGAACAGCCAGTCCATTAATGGAAATGTTACATCTTCAACAAAGGTCATGTGGGGTGAAAATGACATGAAGAATGAAATGAGATTACATGAGAATCAGGCATTGGACTCGGTAATACTTGATCTCGGAGGGAAACAAGATCCATTCAATGATGTCCTTAATGATGAACCCAGTAGACAAGAAGTAACTTCACCACGCACTTATTTATCTTTTCTTCATGGTCATAAATCCAAAAACATGACAACTACGCCTTCACAAGAACTCAAACCATACACTGAGATACCACAGAAGAAGAACTGTCGGGGAAGAAAAGGAAGACGACAAAGGAAAAAGAAAAACAAGGCAGAAGAATCACCTGTTTCTGGAAATAAACCTGTTTCAGGAAATAAACACTAGGCAACAATGTTTTGTTACTGATGAAGTTGACATTCATTTACAGGTTTCTGTTACATTAACCAGATTGCTGCTACATGAGCTTACAAAATAATCAGTAGCCAAATGATATACCATACATCTCACAGGTCATACATCATAAACTGCTGCTTTCATTGACAGTATTTATAAATGTATTTCCTTGGATAAGGACCTAGATCTCCTTTCTATAATCCTTGTATGAATTGTCTTGATATTTATTTTAGGTTCCATAGTCGTTGTTTTTATGTACTTGAATTGAGCGCTACCAACGCTGCAGTCTGTGTGTATAGTTTTCGCCAGCAATTAAAGAGGCACTCCAGATTGGAAACTATCCCTTCCTTTCTAATGCATTGTATAAAGAATGCAGGAACAATCAATCCTAAATAATAAAAGATACATAAGCCCCAGAAATTGCATCTGCATTCTTCAGCATTGCCCACATCAGGAAGTGGTTTAGCCAATTATGAGTCTTTAATTTTGGACTTTGGAGTCTATCAATTATGTTCAACTCAAAACTGCAAGTTTTAAATTGCATACAGGACACTAGTTTTTTTTTTTGTTTTAATTTGCAGCGATTACATTTATCATATATCACTAGTGTACATATAACACTCAATATAAATCTTTCAAATTGTATGTTTATTTTCACACTGTGTAGGGAAAAGACCTACACACCAAGATCTGCTCAGAATAGGGTTTTCTGGGACTTGCCATTTAATTTTCAACTTTCGAATATTTAAAATATCCCTCCCAGCCGCTAAACTACAACTTCTGTAACACTGTGCTGTGCATTAGAAGGAAGGGAAGCCGGGTAAATGGTGATAGACTCTCAACCTATCACTGAGCCCCAATTAAGAAAAATAATATGTACTCTCGTACCTATAACAATTTAAACAAAGATTTTGATGTTTGAAATGAAATGGCCTGATTGATTTTAGAGGTCATTGAATTTGCATAATGCAGGAAATCCTTTTTTTTCTCAAAATCTATACATAATTCATAATACAAAACACACAGGTAATTATTTAGGCCAAAATCTATAAAATGCATAAATGTGTTGGCGCCTGGAGTGTCCCTATAATTTAGATTTTTTTCTCTCTCAGTATTTAATTGAAATGATTCCTTTTCCACAGAGTATATGTTTTAAAGTCATTCTCAATCACCACCACATAAGTTAGACTGTAAGAAATGTTTGAAGGTAAACATAAGAATTGTGCATACTCAGAGCGGGAGGTACCTGCACATTTGGACAAGAGTTTATTTATTTTTTCTTTCTATCTTATTTTGCAAGAAAAAAAATAATTAAAATAACCTAAAGATCTGGATATCTTTTAAATGGTTACTCCAACCACCATGATTACTTCAGTGATTTGAAGTGGTCATGGTGATAGGAGACTGGATGTGCGGTGTTTCTACTTGAAACACTGCACATACAGAGATATTAGTAACTGAATGCTGGGGGCTGTGTTCCGGGCTGGCAAAGTTTATTCTGTGCATAAATTAGTCTGTTGTCAGTGCGCACGGTACATGGCCAACAGACACGGAAATCTAAAGACCAGCTCTCTTGCCTCCCTCCATTGCTGGCTTTTTATTCATTTTTTTTAAACCTCCCTACCCCTGCCTCACTCTCTGTCTTGCGAGCACAGAGGGTGCGCATGAATTCTGAGCTGGCAATTGGTCCAATGACAAGTTTTCTTGACTGCATAAATCATGTGCTGGTGCAACTAGCCCCCAGCTCAAAAGTGCAAATAACTCTAATTGTGCAGTGTTTGAAACAGAAACACTGAACATCCCGGCTCCTACCACTATAACCACTTCAAATCACCATTAAAGGGACAGTATAGTCACCTGAAGAACTTTAGCTTAATGAAGCAGTTTTGGTGTATAGAATATGCCCCTGCAGCCTCACTGCTCAATCCTCTGCCATTTAGGAGTTAAATCCCTTTGTTTATGAACCCTCGTCACACACCTCCTTGCATGTGACTTGCATAGCCTTCCATAAACACTTCCTGTAAAGAGAGCCCTATTTAGGCTTTCTTTATTGCAAGTTCTGTTTAATTAAGATTTTCTTATCCCCTGCTATGTTAATAGCTTGCTAGACCCTGCAAGAGCCTCCTGTATGTGATTAAAGTTCAATTTAGAGACTGAGATACAATTATTTAAGGTAAATTACATCTGTTTGAAAGTGAAACCAGTTTTTTTTTTTCATGCAGGCTCTGTCAATCATAGCCAGGGGAGGGGTGGCTAGGGCTGCATAAACAAAAACAAAGTGATTTAACTCCTAAATGACAGTGAATTGAGCAGTGAAATTGCAGGGGAATGATCTATACACTAAAACTGCTTTATTTAGCTAAAGTAATTTAGGTGACTATAGTGTTCCTTTAACGTCTAAATGGCTGAGAATTGAGCAATGAAACTGTGTGGACATGATCTATACTCTAAAACCAATCCATTGAGCTAAAGTTGTTTTGGTGCTTATATTGTCCCTTTAACTCATGTCCTTCAAAGAGGATAATATCAGGGAGAAATATAGATTTAAATTTTGTACCAATTAATGCTTTCTTCCCCCATTTTCCCATTTCTTTGTTCTTTTGGCTCAACAGCTTTATCAGAAATGGTTGAAAGGATGAATTTAATTGGATTCGATTTTTAAAGTAAATTACGAGAGGAGCTGTATGGGCATTTACATTTGCCAATATTCTTGTAGAAGTTACATCTCAAATATTAAAAAAACAAAAAAACAAGCCCATTTAATATTATTTATATCCACAGAATGAAAGACAAATTCAATGCCCATTGCATGGTGTGCCTGTCACTGCTCACCCCGCTGATGTTAATGATTAATATTATCATACAGTTGGAACCAAAAATAAAAAAGACAAACCACTTCTTACAGCATCAGCAATTGTTTGTGTAGTAGAGGAAAACAGACGATCAGCACTTTATTTGGGAGATGCGTCATAGTTCTTACCGTTATCAGCTGCAAAACAAGCTAGTTCTCAACTGTGATGCAATATTAGCATACAGATCGATTAGTTGTCAATTGACCAATACTCTGTACATCTCCAAAAGACAACACAAAAAAAGATCTAACATCTAATAGCTGAAAATACCATTACTTGTACAGGAACACTCAGTGCACCAATACAACTTATTTGTATTCCTACCGCTACAGTCCTGATGCATCCGGGATGACGGGCTAATCCTATGTTCCACAAAGAGGAGGACTGGGGAATGTAGGCACATGCACCGCAGTCACTGCAATGCACCTATGATTCCTTCATAGTATTCATGTATTGTATATGTATCCATTGTATTAATAGATTCTCTATAGCCGACAAAGGCACAAAGTTAAGCTTGAAGTTGCTAGGTACACTAGTATCACCGGAAAAACGTACTGGATGGGAAAAGAAAAGAGATACACTCTAGGCCAATTACAGCTGCCCATTACATTCCAGGCTTCTGCAACCAGGTCTATGTAGTTTATAATAAACCCATGTGATGCGAGACAAGCACCAAAGATACCTTGCATTCTGCCAAGGAAGGTCTGTCTGTGATAAAAAATACACCATTGCCTTTTTTCTATGCTACATATCTGGTTATTAAGGAGGGCCATGTGGACTTAGAATTATCTGGAAATGTCTTCAGAACAGGAGTGCTGGACCTCACATAGTCAGTATAGCCATTAAATTGGCTATCATTCACATAGTCCCCCAACGGTGACTTTGCAGCTGGGTGTCCGGTGCCTGGGGGATGCAGAGGGAGTGAGTTATACTTGCCTAAACATGTCTTTTGTGGCCTCCACTAGGCTGTTCTTGCAGGTCCTCTTCAGCTACTGGTGCTTCAGCTGCAGTCTATGGAGGCTCCAGCAAGACTGCAAAATGCTCCATAGACAATGCCTAGACAAAGTCGTCCATAATTTGTCGTAGAAATATAGAATGTGACGGCAGATAAGAACCATTCGGCCAAATTATCTAAATACGTTTATTAGTCTCTTATATCTAGGATAGCCTTACGTTTAACCCCTTAAGGACACATGATGTGTGACGTCATGATTCCCTTTTGTTCCAGAAGTTTGGTCCTTAAGGGGTTAAACTCCCTCACTGTGTTAACTTCTACCACTTTAACTGGAAGGCTTTTCCATACATCCACTACCCTCTCAGTCAAGTAATACATCCGGATATAATTTTTAAGCTTTGCTCCCCTAATTTAAGACTATGTCCTCTTGTTGTGGTAGTTATTCTTCTTTTAAATATAGTCTCCTTTACTGTGTTGAATCCCTTGATGTTTCATTTTCCCTGGCTCGTCTTTCCTCCAAGCTGTACATGTTAAGATCCTTTATCCTTTCCTGGTAAGTTTTATCCTGCAATCCATGAACCAGATTAGTCGCCTTTCTCTGAACTCTCTCCAAAATATTAATATCCTTGATATGGTATCCAGTACTGCGTACAATACTCCAAGCGAGGTCTCACCGGTGTTCTGTACAATGGCATGAGCACTTCCCTCTTTCTACTGCTAATACATCTGTCTATACAACCAAGCACTCTGCTGGCATTTCCTGCTGCTCTATTACATTGTCTGCCTACCTTTAAGCCATCTGAAATAATCACCCCTAAATCCCTTTCCTCAGATGTTGAGGTTAGTAGGGTATGAAATATTTGATACTCTGCCCTTGGCTTTTTACATCCAAGCTGCATTATCTTGCACTTATTCACGTTAAATGTCAGTTGCAACAACTCTGACCATTTTTCTGGTTTACCCAAATCATTTGCCATTTGGCTTATCCCTCCTGGAACATCAACCCTGTTACATATCTTAGTATCATCAGCAAAAAGACATACCTTACCATCAAGACCTTCAGCAATATCACTAATAAAAATATTGAAGAGAATGGATCCAAGTACAGATCCCTGAGGAACTGCACTAGTAACTAGACCATGCTTCGAATATACTCTGTTGACTACAACCCTCTGTTGCCTGTCCCTCAGCCACTGTCTAACCTATTCAATATTGGAATCCAAACTCAACGATTGCAGGTTATTGATAAGCCTTCTATGTGCAACTGTGTCAAAAGCCTTACTGAAATCTAGGTAAGCAATGTCTACTGCACCACCCTGATTATTTTAGTTACCCAAGCAAAAAAAATCAATCAGATTAGTTTGGCATGATCTCCCTGAAGTAAACCCATGTTGTAGCGGATCTCGAATTCCTTATGATTTTAGATGTTAAACAATCCTATCTTAGTATAGTAAATCATAGTATATATGGTAATTACATCTGAATTTCAGTGAAATTCTAACAGTCAATGTGAGTACTTAATAAAGATTGTATCTTTTTGCATGATAAAAGTTCCTGATATGTTCCTTTTGTTTCACGTTGTTTTACTCCACCAGTACTGCAAATTATCTACCTCCGATCCAAAGTAAAAATAGAGATGCAAGCACTCATGGTGTCTCTCAACTCTAACTTCTCTTCCGTGAAGAATGTACCTTATAAGGATAATTAGCCTATCAATAGACAGAGTCCAAAGACCTGGAGGAATATTCAACATACTCCTCCATATATCAGGGTCTTCATCAGAGCTTGAAGACTGAGGTTCTGCTCTGTGTCTTTTATAAGGACCACTTTTATCCATGGTAGACTTAAAGCCCTCAGCAATAGCTTGGAGAAATCCAATGTTTAAGGTCGTCCTGTTGGGAACTTGTATTGGAAGCATCCGCCATTTCCAACAAGCACTCTCTGCAAAGGTTCTTTCCCTGAGGTGCAGTGGACGAACAATTCAAGCATTTATTGGTTTTATCCCTTGCTTTTATTTCAGCCCCAGCAAAATAATGGATTCTACTCCAAGAAAAGCCATATATGAACATATATTACAGGCTTATTCTGGCACTCTTTTTAACACCCCAATAAGAAAAAAATAAATGGTCTCACTTATATTTTCTAAAGAGAAAAGAAAAAGTTCAAGTCCTGTAGAACCAGCTAAAGACTGGGAAAAAAAGACTGTGGTGTAAGGGGAGGAAGGACTCTTTATACCCATAAGTCTAATTATTTCCTGTTCTGTGACTGCCAAGGGAGGTGCTACCCATAAGTGATGCTGCCATAATTTGCAAAAAATATATTTATCTTACTAAATGTGATCTATTTGTTAAAAATGTTTCATCATAGCAAATAGGAGTTACTGTCACAGCCTCCATACTTATACAAACCTATAATTTACGCTACTGATACAATTACTTTACATGACAATATAAACAAAACAGATGTCTTACTGCAGGTCTATTGCATCTGCAAATTGGTATTTTGAAAACCAGATGTTTAACAGAGGCTACTTTATATATCTCTCCCTGTTTTGGATTATATGTGCTTTCTGTAACCAAGGACGCCATCTCAGGAGATCTAGAACATGTGAAAGACCCACAAGGTAATGCCGTATGCACAAGCTGTGGCTGGAAAGTGTCCCCCCTATGGTGACTCTTTATTTACTTTACATATCCCATATAACACGGTCGCATCTTTCAAGAGATTTTAGGTCAGACCCCAAGTCACTAAAGGGGTAGGACCATACTTTTAACAGGGCTGCTTGTACATGGTCTACAGAGAGGCTGATCTCTCCTGGTTTAGACTTTTCAAAAAAGTAGCCAGGTAAGCATCAGATAAATAAAAAAAATAAAAAAAATAAAAAATTAACTGCCCACAGACAATAGATCAGGCTTTGCAGGACATCCAGTGTCTTTAAAATGGTTCAATGCTTTCTCATTGGGAAGCTCTAAAAAGGTAGTTTACTTAACTTTTATCCCATGCCACTCAGCTCTTTCCACCTCCTTGGTAGAGATCAGGCTTTCCATTGGAAAGCATTGGGAGGCTAGTGCAAGACACCCTGCGACACCAGATTATCTCTATGAGACCATCTGATTGATTTAGCAGTTTCATTCTGCTATTTCTGCAGAGCCCCTCGAGTGGCTGTCACTAGGATAACCACTAGGAGGTATTTAAACCCTACAATTCCTGCAGAATTGCAATGATTTAAAAACGAGAGAAACATGGCACACAGACCACTTCATTGAGAGTAAGTTCCACTTTGTACATTCATCTTTTTCGTTACTCAGAATTTGATCACTGTCCGTTAGGCAAGCATTTGTCCTATTTTACAATACTGGTAGATATAAAGGCACATATGTTTTACTTTATGTGTACAGTATACATTTTGTGGTATATTATTTCAGAACCACACAGTATTTTGATAGAAATAATACAACTTTTTTCCCCCCATTTATGGAGCAATATTTCTTAACCCTAATCCAAAAATAGCATCTATGAAATGACATGTAATCTATTTACCAGATAACAGGTAACTACCAGCAGTAAACCATAATTTCTCTAGTGTAGCAAAGACCCCTGTTATAATTGGTTGAAAGGAATGCTGCTTCCATGATGTTTGCTTTTCAAATTACCAATACTAAATCCCTCTCAAACAGCTGTAGGAAAGGAATGGAAAGCATAAATGCAAGGGTGGTGCTAGAGGTGGCTGACCTGGGGTAGAGCCCCCACCTACATACTGAAAAGCCCCAGCTGATATATGCACCCTTTCTTTGCTTGCCCCTGGGCCCCTATAATCTTGAAAAAAAAACAAGCCTTCATTTACTTAATTGGTGACAATGTTCATTTAATGAACCATATTTGGAGACAATTATAGAGCAGTGTAGCGTTCTAATGCTGAATATACAGAATACTGTGGGGTTAATACAGCAGGTGAGGAATTCAATGGTCTACCTTCATTCTAAGATTTTGGGTCATAATGTGGTGTTTAGGCTTTGACATTGGGTGTGGGGAGGATACCCTTTGCAAGCCCCAGGTCTTTTTTTGGCCATCTAACATTATCATTGCATACATGCTGCTGAGGCCTACAAAGCTTGTAGTCCCCATTAGTTACACAGTCGTAAATATTGCCCTTTCATGATACAGGAGAAGCCAGACAGACTTCTAATGTCATGTTTACATTTTCACTCTCAGGAATTAAAAGAGAAGCAAGACCGCAAACATGATGTGTCAAATTTTCAGTATCCAGACATTTTATTTGTCGGCTCCGGTGCAATTACAAAACAAAAAATAAAAATAAAAGAAAAATAATAAAATTACAGGGGGGAAAAAATAAAAAAAAATTTGCAATGTGCACAAAGTTAAATTCCAGACACCTTCACGCTGCAATGGTAGAGATAAAAGAAAAGCCACATCTATCAGAGTTATAATGGCGTTCTTGCACACTCACAGCAGTAACCCTCCTGCTAGCTGCTCAAAGCAGTAAAGTGGGGAAATGAAGATAATAAACAAAAAAATATATAATAAATACATATACCCATAGATCCAATCAGATAACAGACCGGCATTCATTACTTATTGTATTAACCCTTCAAGGACCAGTTTGGCAAGTCCCTTCCTATCATCTCAGAACTGACGCGGTCATCCATTGGCTCTGATGGTGTCATGCGTATTCATCTTAAAAGGTAGCTGCTATTAGAGAACACATTGGCAGAGGGAATACAAACCATCTTTAAGCAAGTGAGTTTACCAAGCAGTTTCCCGCCAGCCCTTATATGTAAAGTGTCTGATCATTCAGCACATTTAGGTGAAGAGACACGAGATCTTTGTTTCAGACCTCCACATAGGTTTTTTTTTTTTTTTTTTGCATTCTTTGGCAGAATACACAATGCTTAGAAATAAAACAGATGCCCGTTCTGGGTTTAAAACATAGCTCATAAAAACGGTTAATCACAGGGATATCTTTTTTACTTCCCTTCATGGTAATTTTTGTGTAGTTAGTTAACCCTTCTGTAGGAAGGGAAAATGCTACAATATGGAATCCATTCATTACTGAGGCTTGCTGTGACAGAGAAAAAGGTTCTCTTGTATTCAAGTAAATGCACGCTTCACACGGGAGGTCCAAGCATCTCATTTGTCGCCTTGCACACAGTGGCCCTTTAACATTATTAGGCTCAATAGTGAGCTAGGGAACCATTTTACATAATATCCAAACATAAAATGGGGTGAGGGGTAAAAGTTCCATCTGTCCTTTTGAAAGTTTATTTGTTTACATGTTAACAGCCCTATCGGTCCATTTCATCCAGTAGTGGAGTGGCATCCCCTGCGACCGACATTGGTGTACTCTCAATCATGGGGCTGGGAGATGGGCGCGGGGTTAGCCTTTGTTTTTGTTTCCGCCTCTCTGCTTCCTTCTCCTGCAACCACTGTTCTGCCATTTTACCCCAATCGATCGCAGTATGGCTGTTTGACCTGATAAGAGACAAATGGGATAATTGGCATGATAACCAGATTCTCAGCAACAAATTAATATACCAACATGAGGAACAAACAATTGTATTCCAAGTTTTACCTATAACTGAATGCAAAGCTATGCCAATAGTCATTGCTGCAGTTTATCAAAACAATGAAAATGAAAAAAAAACTAATTGGGCCAAAGGAAGTTAATAGAAGAAATTTCTGTGCTACCTGCATGACAAGAAATTTAATAAGAAGTATGGGATGATTATATGAAGAAATGAGAGCCATGTTATAACACAATGTCTCCAGAAATTAATTATACCTATTGGTCCTGGACTTGCCAGTAAAGAAATGTTCTCAACGCACTGAATAGTTGGCAAATATTATTCACATGAAAATATCTATTGTGTATAACCAGAACCGTGTTTCCCCTTCTCTAAAGCACTGTGAGAATCTATGTATTCATTGCAAATCATTAATCAAAGTGACATTTGCACAGTATATCCAATTAACTTTTAAAGAGCCTAGTTTGTCTTTGTAATCTGTGAAACAGGAAGCTGCAGGGTGCACATATAAGAAGAAATGGGGGCTGTTGAATCAATTGACAGATATAAATTGCAGGTTGTTGAAGCTCAGATGGTTCCTAATGTTATAACTTGTTTTTGTCAGTAGCTGTAGTGGCCATTACTGCTACCCCGTATACTCACTTGGATTGTTGCCTGTGTCTAGAACTGGAACTGGAGGAACTCTGCGAGTGAGAAGATTGAGGAGTAGGTGCTGGGGTGGGTGTGGCACTGGGAGGAAGCTGATGGTATTGAGGAGTTGTGATTGGCTGACTTGGGGTGGCATAGGAATAGCTTGGAGTCATCAAAGGAGTGGCAACAGGCTGCTGGGCTGGAGTCGTGAAGACCTAAGAACAATAATTAAAATGAAAAGTTATTAAACAGTTAACAAAAACAAAATCATTTTGTTCTTTTTTTTCCCCTCATTCCTTATTAAAGTCTGTTATTTTAAATGAATTTATTTTTAAAATCATACATAAATTGGTCAGGAAAATGTAATATATTAAGAGACAACAATAAGCAATAGTTTTATGAAGTAACATCTGAGGAGTTGCTTCAGTGGAAATTTATATGCTAATCTCAGGCAATATAAATTTCGTAATGTGTGTGACCACCTAGAATTGCACCCTAAGCAACATGCATTGATAACATAATATGTTATAGTTCTATATTTAGTTTAACTTAGAATTCATAGAATCTTATTTAGTCATGTTCCACTGTGTTTTGGTTTAATTTTTATAGTTCCTTCTGATCTACTTACATGATAAGCACTGCTTCCCCCTCCGCTGCCTCCCACGAAACCATACTGGCTAGATGCCCACTGGGCGGGTGTTGCATTGGGATTTTGCCCATGCTGTCCCGTTACAGCAGCAATGGCATTAAACATCTGTGAGGTCATGTTTTGAGGAAGGGCATTGACAGCTCGTGTTAGATCTAAAAACAGAAGAAAAAAAAATGTAAATTCAAATAAATAAGGATTCTTGTTCTAGAACAAATATCAATGACTATCGGATTTAATTAGAAGACCCTGGCATGGTTCACTCACCTGCAAGGTTGATATTGGCAGGAGTGGCACTCATGGAGGCCGGAGTCCTAGTTCTGCTGCTGCTGCTCGGTGTAATACCTGCCAGAAACCCAGAAGAGAACTCTAGATGAATCAAATCTTAGACCACGGATACATATGTTTCTTTTGCTACTAAGAGGCAGTAGCGACTGGTGCTGTGTTAGTTCAAAGCATACACACATCTCTAGGTTGTGAATTATACATAAAATAAGGCAAGTGTACAATAATTTGCTACTAGCCTGAGATTCATTAAAATGTGTGGTCGAGATTCCTTGCATCAATAAATGCTGTAGGATGTGGACACTGCATTTTAGGGTTCTACTTAGAGTCTTTCACTTCTGATATGGCAGATGCATAAAGACTAAAAAGGTAAAATTTTACAAAGGGGTGATTTAACAAGAAATTGTCAGACAAAAAACAAAAGTTGGAACAAACAAGACCTGAAGGTGGTCCTACTCAAACAAGCTTACAATTTAGGAATAGCACTCAAGTGCTATTTTTTACATAAAACTAAAATGCTACTTTTAGGTCATTTCCTATAATCAATCTTCTGTTATGCAAAGCTAATAAAAGTTCCAAAAATGCCAACAAAATGGACAATGTCAAATATGGCCAGACACACATTAGTGGCAAGTGTGAAAATATGTAGTTAAACCAAGATACCAAAACCTGATCCAAAGAACCTGACATTTCAAGAAGAAACACTTACATTATTAAGTTCTAATCAAACAAACATAACTGTGGCATAGGACAGAACACTCACCTGGCACAGGGTCCTGATAGTGGTCTTTGAACCATCGGAAAAGTCCATTCACAGAAGGGAATATCTGCCCCCTGTATCTGTATCCTTCTGGTGTCACAGTTACATACTCAACCCTATGTTTGAAGGCATAATGATCAGTTAACGTAAATGTAACCAACACAACATAGTTTATTAAGTATGGGGATGAAGTTTAAATTCTTGTTCATTTAGAAAATCAAATGTTTTTTTTTCTTTCTAGAAATAGGTCACAATACAGCAAGCAAAGTTATATCCTGTCCATCTGCTTTTTTTATCCAGAGTCAATAAAGATAACACTAGTGGACTAGGGAGCACTGGAAAACACTCACCTTGGTTTTGCACGTGGTTGATATCCCAATAAGAATTTCCCAGGAAGTTCTTTACTCGCAGAGATGTAATATGGAATGAATGTTGGCTTTTCCTTCTTGGTTTTAATTAAAAGCTCCTCTAATTTCTGACAAAAGAAAAAGAAAACGAGTTCATAAATAAACACGAACAGGTATGCCATAATGCAGAAAAATAAATACAAAGCACAAACGCTGGTTATACCTTAACTGCTATAACATACAGAAGGGAAATTTAGTGTAATGATTGAATGTGTGGTTTAAACTTTGTCCAGGCTGTTCCATGCAATGATCATGCATGGGAAATATAGCCCAAATGAGCTAAAGAGGCAAATACCAACCATTACTGCTTTAAAGCATACCTGACTTGTTACATTTCACTTACATGAAATTCTCATTAGATTTCATCTATGCATTGTGCCAGTTCCCTCCTTGGCAGGCAGATTATGTTGATGCCTGTCTGCAAGGAAGCCAGCCTCTCTATTCAAGAGTGCATATGTTATGTGAGCCTCAGCGTTACCAAGGCAACGCTACAATACAATGCAGGAGGCAATACATGCTAGTACTCTACAGGCACACTAAGATGTGTCAGTAAACAGAGAGGAGCACTTTTTCCCCCTAACCAGGTGAGGCTACTACACGCTGTGTACACAATGTGAAGGGGCAGCACTAACAAGATTACAACAATGTGTGTGCCCAAACAAAGGCAGGACTGAGAAGAAGCTTCACAAAGGTTGGCTTACGGCAGTGCTGGAACGGTTAGGAAAGCGGCAAATCTGAAAACTTGATGAAGCTTTGCAGAAGGCAAGTAAAGTGACACAATTTTGGGCCATTATAAAGTAAAAGGAACATATTTAAGGAAGGTCTAATTTTAAACAACAGGTCTACATTAAGGATTCTGCTTAGGAATTATAAAAATGTATTACATTACACTTTAAGGAATAATTTCAAGAAGGATATTGTGCTAACTTTTTTTGTTTACATTGGTGCTGCAATTAATTCCCAAAACAATCTGTGCTCTAATTAATAATAAATCTATTGTTAACATCACTCACCTTTTTGTCTCCACAGTTACAGTCTTGATAATATTTATGGTTTATTAAATCCCTTGCAAAAGAAGCCATAGGTTGCACAAAGCGAGCGATTATTTCATCAAGGTCTTCAAATTCCTGCAGAAAGAAAATTTCCTGTGTTACATTTAAACAAAGACATTTACAAATACCCAAATAAAACTCTTTACAGAAAACAAAAAAAATAAAATAAAATTCTGATACAAGATTTTATGATGCATATGAGATTGGCAACATCAAATGTTTGTAATCCTAGATTTTTATATCAACCAAAAATATAAATGCCCATTAAAGAAAAAGTTACGGATATGTCCCAAAACCCCAACAAATAAGCCTGATTAACTAGTAATTAACACAGAATTACTGGAATATCATCGCTTAAAATCCCCACAATGTTTATTCACGCCTAAAAGCAAAAAGTAACTTTCCAAATTTGTAAGTTCCACAATCTAAGTGCCAAAGCAGAATAAACTTAAATATAGCAATAATAGACTATGCATTTTGGTCTGAAATTGTATTCTAGAAACTCTGCTGGACTGTGTATTCAGGAAAATTTACTTATACTAATAGCAATGCCAGAAGAGAAAATATATATATATATTTTTTTAAATATTTCTGATTAAAGGAGTAGGTTTATAACATTCATCTTACCTCAGTGTTTATCCAGAGAGTAGATCCAAGGCTGAAAGCATTCTCTTTACCCTCCTCACGCACATCTACATGCTGGTAGATGCCTTCGCTCACCTTCCATGTCACGGTTAGGTGATTTTCTCCTTTGCTGCTTGGTCGGATGATGACATCTCCCTGGTCCATGGTCTCCATCATCTTCTCGGCTTGCTTGAAGTTTATATTGTGGAATGAAGGATGTGCGATGACACGTTTTATGTAAGCTAGAGAGTGAATTTGAATAACAACACAGTCAATACTTGGAAAGTTGGTTTGCAGGGAATTTTAGAAAGAACTGCAAAGAAAAGGGAATATGAAAAAGCTGTCATGGTACCTCCCTGCACCACAACAGACAAGGAGCCAAAGTTGCTATGATGCTCAGAAGTGTCCCTTTAAGAAGTGTTTTTTGCAACGCTACATGAGATTTACGTTTTGTATTTCTAAATTAATTATCTTTCAATGTGCTTTCATTAACTGTGGTGGCTACTCACTTGTCCGCTGCTGTTTTTTCTTGAGCTCTTCGTCTTGTTTGTGATGTGCAGATTCGGTATCAAAGTCATAGTACGTATCCTTAGGTAGTTTCCATTCATTGTTCTTATCCATTAAGTCAGATGTGCGGCATGTCAAGTCAACGCTGAACTTTTCAATGTTGATTTTCATTATCCGACAATGGACTGTCATACCCACCTAGAGTACACAAATTATAAGTGTGCAAAGGTTAAGAGGGGGGGAATTTTTTTTTGTTTGTTTTATTTACACTTTTACCTAGCCACAGACATGATATAGTTTAAAGGGCACTTACTACAAATAAGCTAACCGACAATTAAACATTAAATTCCATCATACGTTGTGCTACCAACATGTCCCTTGATTTAATATTGTTGGATAACTTTCAAATGATGGGAAGTCTCAGAGTGAAGAAGGAGAACCCTCCTACAAGTGGATCTCCTACTCTTAAGCAATAACTTCAAGGCACATGCTGGGGGTACAGCTCTAGCCAGAGCACTAGTGTCATGACAGGATCACTTAAAGATATAGTAAAGATAGTATTGCTCATTTGTTCACTTAATCAAAGGCATGAGGATTCCAGTGATTGCATGGTTGCATGGTTTAATCATCAAGTGCCTCAGCAATAATGTTTACTACTGGTATCTGTACTTTACAGAAGGGAGGGGCATAAGGGTGATTCAATTTAGCTTGGCACGGATGATTCTACTTACATGCCCTTCTAGAAAGGCATGTCTGATTAGTTTTTTTATGTGAATTTCATTTTCAGTTAATACCTTTACTCGTTCTTCAGGCCGCTTCACCACTTTGTCACTGATAAACTTAGTTGGAATGAAGCCAGTAACACTATTATCCAACCTCGTTTTCACACCGATTGCTTGACCAGGACAGGAACCGCTGTCAAAATGATTCCATACCTGTAAAAACAGAAAAGAAGCCAAGTGAACTTTTAGCTCATAGAACATTGCACTGTTGCAATCATTTCAGACGTGTATGGCATTATACCTCGCTGAGCTCTGGAAAGTTATCCTGTTGACAGAATGGACACTGCCAAAGTCCTGTCTCGTCATTACGAATAGCTTGATCATAACTTTCTCCTTGTGGGCGTCTGTGAGCTATACCAGTTACATTACAGGTAACCAATTTGCCTGTAAGAATAAAGACCCAAATTAGTAGTTAAAATTAGCCAATATTTGTAATGTGTAAGACGAAAAGAAAGTTATAGACACTACAATACTCACTTATAATCTTATTTTGCCATTACAATAATTAGATAGATAGATAAAAAAAATAGTACTAAGATTGTGGAGGTAACAAATTACCAATATAGAATGTCTCCGGTGTCTCCCTGGTAAGCATGTTGAAGATTTCCTCAGGGTTTGATGACCGATAAGGTGTCCGGAGGTCTTTGTATCTACAACTGAGCTCGGCACGAATATCATACAATGTAATATGTTTATCACCATAGCCCTATAGTAAAAAGAGAAAAACAGAAATTACATACATCAAAAATCAATTGCTTGACAGTTTAGATCAGGGGTAGGCAACATTTGGCATTCCAGATTTTGTAGACTACATCCCCCATAATACTCTTACAGCCAATGCTGGCAAACCAAAGGAGATTTAGTCTACAATATCTGGATTGCGGACTGTTGCCTAACCCTGGTTTAAATGTTCTCCTACAAAAAAAGTTAATCTTGAGTTAATTCATTCAAACATACTTGTCTTTCAAGTTCTTCTGCAAAGGCATCCAAATCCAAGTCCTTCAGCCGCTCTGGATTTTCAAGAATTTCTTCTAGAGCACCTGCAGGGTTGGCGTCCTCGGCGGACTCATCATATTCCAAAGCATCAACTGCCATTTTCCTTGCCCATTCATAAGTCTCAGGATGAACTCGAGAACCATCCAACACTTCAATGTAAGAGTCCGTGCTAAAATGAGTAATACAAACAATTAAGGAAGGCATAGCCAGAAAAGGCAAATCATGCATAAGCATGAAAGCTGTGCCTTTATTCCGCAAACATTTGTTCAGTTTTTATTTGTTGCACTTCAGATTGAAAAGATGACAATCAAAATTAATAAAATAAAATGGGAATTTAAGAACTATTTGTTTCCTTTTTTCTCTCTCTCATGAATGTGTTGAACATTTACATACTGAGGGAATCTAAATTTCACTGATAACTAAAACATTAGATTTTCCTTATCAACAATTACAGAAAAGGTTCAACAAGTAAGTGAGAAAAGGCAAGCCATCAATACACAAGAGATGTAATAGGTTACTTTCAGATACGTTGGTGTGATATCTACAGATATAGTAAGTTCCTGGCTAATCATGGCAGCATTAAATTTATGGGTTAGCTCCTCAATCCAGTTGATAGGACAGGATCCAGATAGAACTCTCCATGCCATTTTGTGGACTCCATATATAATAACGGTCTCTTCTCTCAGTTCCCACGGCAGCATTACATTTAGTGCCAATAATAATTTTTTTTTTTAAATAACCAAGTGAGTGGGGATTTCAAAAACATTTCTATAAAAGGATTAAAACTTTAGGAATGCAAAATCCTTCTATACTAGTTTAAAAAAAAAAAAAAAAATTCTAAACATGGAAATTTAAGGGCCACTTTAAAAAAACAAACAAAAACAAACAAACAAACAAAAAAAAAAAAAAACTTTCTGAACAAACCTGTCACCAAGAGAGTTTGTGTCTATCTTAATGAAGCCAGCACAGTTGATGAAGACTTTAGGTCCCATGTGACACATGGTGACCAATTGTGTGCGATTTTCCAGTCGAGTGTTGTTCTGCTTTAGAATCTGTTGGGTAAGAAAATTATTTGAAACAAGGCAGGTACTGTGCCCAAAACTTAGCACAATCTCATAGCTCAATAAATGCAGCAGAAATTAAGGTATTCAGTTTATATTGCTATGTAATTTTTTGGAATTAGAATAGGTTATAGAGAGAAGTAAAGACTTTAGTAAACTCCCTATGACATAAAATCTATACTATTTATCTAGTGTGTTTACAGGAACACAGACTATAATAAAATCATGAACTGGATATGAAATAATGCTTACCTTGAGCAAATGAGTGCCTTTACGTGGTCCAAGGCCACAAACATACTGGATAAGCGATTGTGTGTAAGGGTGAGCGATGGCCCTGTTCACATCAACTCCCACCTCGTTGACTCTGTTGATAAACTCACAATATAGGGAATTCAGCAGCTCCTCCTTCACCACATGCTCCTAGTGAAATAAATAATAAAAAAATAAAAAAAGTTAGACCAGGCAGAACTGGAAAAGGACACAGACATAAATGTCTACACTATCAATTTACCTGTAATGGGTGCAGTTTCAGGCACAGGATATCTTCATCGGAGCTGCACACCTGGGAGAACTCAATTAAAGGGTCCTGAATACGTCGAGCAATGGAAACAGCCTGTCTTAAAACGGGTGGGTAATCCCGGAAATCACTCTGAATAAACAAATATTGAAATATTTTAATAAGTGAACATTTTATTTAGATGCCAATGAAAACCTAGAAAAAAAATAAAAAATAAAAATAAGTCATTCTAAAAAAACAAAACCACATAACTTAATTCTTAACCTACCAATATAAATGTAGGTAAAAATAATTAGCTACCAGGAGTGGCATTATAGCCAAAGGGTTATTTAGCACCACTGCTAAGCTTACAGAAGACATGGTTGCCAGGATGTTTTGTATCTTAACAGCATTGGATCAAGGGAGAAAGTAATCACAAGTGTGTCAGGATAACATTTAACCCCTTAGCGCCGGATGCAGTCCGTCATGCGCTAAAATTAACCAACATCACCGCGATCGCAGGTTTAACGCTGCTCTGGTCTGCCACGGTATTCGAGGCAGATGGGGAGCACCCGGTCACACTGTCCCTGCAGCTGTGATTGCTCTGACATGCTGTCATAGCGAGCCCATGTGCTGCAGAGACTTCTGATCCGCCTCCCTGTGCTTCCGCGGTCCGTGTGAAGTGCACGGAGACGGATTAGTGCTGCTGATCTTCTCCCGTGAAATTTTTTTTAGTAAAAGTTAAAACCCCACCCCCCTATCACCTGCTTACTTAATCCCTTCCCTGCCAATTGATCACTGGCTACAGTGATCATTTGACAGTGACTACATTTTACTGTAATCTGATTATTTTCTTTTAACCGCCAAGGGTTAAGTTATTCTAAAGCTCAGTGTATATCTAGCAGTGTGGGTGGCTTCCCTGCGGTCAGGAGGGAGGAGGAGCTGCAATAGCTTCTGTGGGCTGCTCTAATCCAGTGCGGATTCCCATTCACAAGTACTGGGATAAAGTGATCTGAGGTTACCTTCAATAAGTGCTGAAATGCGTAAAAAGAGGACTGCCCCTAGCCACTCAGTTTGTACTAAGGACTCTTGATGGGCCAGAGCCAGTTTAGCTTTGGCAGCCTTGAGTGCCGTTTAAAAGCACCTAGAGTGCCATAGGTTGCTGACCCCTGGTCTAGGTCATACATTGGGCATATTGTTTTACTCAAAAGATGTAACTGAACATAATTTTTATTTTTTCTCTTTATTTTTGTAGTGCATGGATAAAATACAGGATTGTTGAGACACATTAGCGTAAGCATGTTTAACAAGAAAAGTCTGTCTCATATGTCGTAGACCCTGCACTTTTTTTTTTTTTTAAAGGGAAATAAATCTTAAGTTAAACAGTATGGCATTAGAATTAAATCAATAGGAGAGAAGCGGATATGCAATTATGACCCCTGAGCCATCGGCATCACACAGCCAGTTAAACAAGTGTGTGTATCCACTCGACTGGATGCATGGAGAGTCATCCCAGTCCCCAGGTAGGGATTCCCATCCCCCGCCGCTGGTCGGTTAGAGTCCACATTTTCAGACATGAGTCTGTTGGAGGACAGCCATCAAATAGCCTTGCTAGCCAGGAGCTGTGTGTCACTTGAGGTTGTGGAGTGACTTGTGATTCCACCATGGAATGTGGGAGCTGATGCTGCGAAGCCAAGAGGTGGCGTGTGGAGAGGGAGAGGTCGGTACTTCCGGCAGTATGCCTCAGTGTCGATTGTTAGCACCTGTGAGTCATGTGTTGCCCTGCCCACATGAGGCGCCAAGAGCCCCGAGAGACCACCATCTCCGTGGAGGGAGGAATAGACTGACCCCCATCTTGTTCGGTAAGCGAGTCCCCCAATGCAGGTAGCAGACATTGCTAGTAAGCTGGTAGTAGGGCTTCAGGGTGGACCGGGATGCCCCCCATCGGTCCAAAGGGGGAGAAGGACCCTAATGGAGTCAATGTTCTGGCTTGTCCCCCCCTCCCTCATTGCTGTTTAGGGCCCCCACCCGCCGCTCAGGGTTTTTTTTTTTCAAGTTCGACAAGTATTATGGTTTTTGTTTGGCCTTTTTTGGGGCTGAAAAAAGATTTTAGGAAAAAAAAAATACATGAAATGGCAATTTTATTTATTTATTTTACAGGTACTTCTTTTATTCTCCCCCCTCACTATTTTTCGGGTGAGGGGGTAGGTAGGGGTTGATTAATTTTTGAATTGGGTGTGGGGATGACGGAACCCCCCCCACCCCGCCATCAGTTTAATAGCCCCCACTCGCGTGGCGTGGGTGCATTGGGGGGGAGGGGGGTACTAGGGTTGTGTTATTTTTTTTATTATTTATTTATTGATTTAAAAGCTGCTCCCTGTTTAATAGACTTGCCCCTACTCGCGATATAGCAAGGAGGGGAAGAATTTACCAATACTAAGTAATCTTTACTTAGTATTCGTAAATTTGTCTGAAAGACCAATTTAGGTCTTTCAACCTTTTGGTAGATAGCTCCCGGACACCGTGGGAATTAGGGAGTTATCTACTAAGCGGCAGCACGAATAGGATCGGAAATTCATTCTTTAGAATGAAAATCCGATACGAACTAAGTCCCGAAATGCGTCCTCACATGAATAGAGAATCTATTCTCATTCTGTTAGGACGCAATTCGGTAGTTGCGCCGGCGTTCTAAGTGACAGAACATTCGGGAAAAGTGAAAGGAAGCATCGCGGGAACACAAAGGAAAGGTGAGAACTATAGAAAAATTTCTCTGACCACCGGAAATGAAGCATACTTTGCTCCTCTGCTGCTCAGAGATGGTCATGCGTAGGAAACCGCCATAAGAAAAATAATCCCTACTTTGACGTATGTTTTAACAAAAACTAGAGCAGACAGGAAGAAATGAACAGATCCTGACAGAGGGAGAGAAGAGGAATCGATTGGGGAAAGTTAAGTTCGGCAGTAGAGTGCCACTTCAATGAGAATTTATCTATGTATAGGTCACATCAAATTAAAGCCCCTTTTGCCCTCTAAAAAACAGCATATAAAATGTGTGTTGGTGCAATAAGAGAGAGATGCAAATTGTGTTTGAACACAAACAGCAAAAAAAAGAAAAAAAAAGCTTGTATCCTTAAGGGTAAGTCCAATTTTTAAAGATGCGTTCTTAAGGGGTTTGGCAGAAAATTTATGTAAACAGGGGGTGGGGGAAATCAAACAGTTGCTGGAAATGCCACTCACCTCAGACTTTTTGCTGTTCATGTAGAGCATAGACAGTTCATTATCAACCATTTCCACTCCAATGGTTGACATTTGCTGTCCCTGTTCCAATTCGTGAACAATGCGCTTAACATCTTCAACGATCATTTGAGCATCTCTGGAGCAAAGGAAAAAAAGTCAGCGAGCAGCATTTTGGAAATTTGCGGATATACAATTACAGTTAATTGTGTATGGGTCAAACACATAAGTGAAAATCATCATTTGAAAACTGTTCTAATATTCAAATATGGAAAAGAAACAGTAATTTGAGAGGGGAAGGGACAACTAAATGTAAATTAACTTTTCAGTGTCTGGTAATCCACATAAACAATACCATTACTTCAGAAGAAGAAAAACTATAAATATTGATAACAATAAGATCTAACTTACCGGTTTTCACTGGCAATAGCCACCACATGAGGCTTCTTCTGGATTAGAAACTTTTTTAGAGCCTCCATATCATGAGCCTAAAATACATTTTTTAACAAGGTCTTATAAATAAAATTGTCCTTTAAAAAAAAAAAAAAAAAAAAGACAGACTAATAAAAAAGTAAATTATGTGCAAGTATATCACCTAATTTTGTCAGATATAACATCTAGTAATATCTCTGCTGGCCTCAGATATACATATTCATTTTAAAGAGAGTAAGCAACATAGTTGGGACCCTGCTTGTACAAAATTTAGGGAGTTGGCGTGTATTTTGGGTGCATTTAGAGTCCCATTACACAGAACTGGCAAGCACCGTCCGTGAGGTATACAAAATGAATAAAGTTTTAGTTTTTTGTAAGTTGCTATTAACTTCTGTAACCATATAGGAGTTTTATCCTTTTAAAACAGCATTCTAAAACGCTCTACTACATTCAGAAGATGGTGCCTGCAGCGTAAGAACATAAATTTCACACGTTCTATTTAAAATATTGCAGAAATCAAGCAACCCCCTGCAGTATTTAGATTTGTCACCTGCCTAGGGATAACAAATAGCTGGAGTATATCTGTTGCTTGAGAACTTATTGAAACTAAATTACAGGTGCAGTAATAATGTATTCACAAGAGCAGCATCATATAGCAGTTTTCTAGGAAATCGCTCACCTTGCGCTCTCTCTCCTCTTCTCTCCAAGCATTTTTCCTTTTGGTAAAGTATGGCAGTCGTAGAAAGTCTGTGACTTCACCCTCACCACTAACCAAAGAGCAAAACACTGGATGGTCTCTGAAAAACATTTAAAATGAAAAAAAATAAAAATAAAAATAAAAATTTGATGCTTCAATGGACTAGTAAGATGCTCTAGTTTAAGGGTTTGTCCCCTTACATAAAGTAAAATTTTGGTCAAACAATAAAACAACCACCAAATTCCAAACATAACCCCAACCTGGCAGAGGAGAAAGCCATGCCAAGTACACGGATTCCTTTTCCCTGGTTTTCTTCCATAAAATCATCATCTTCCTCTACCTGCTGATCAGGTCGGTATGGCGCTACTTTCAACCAGTTATAGAGCTTACGACTGCAGGCCTGTAGTGGGAGAGAATATCAGAGGTTTTAGCCACTTTACATACATTATCCTTAAAACCACTCAAGCAAGCATAAGGTCACACATTTTCACCTTGACAACAAAGTCCTTGGCCTCCAGGAGAACTTTGCTTTTTAGTTCTTTGCCCATTTGAGGGTATAGGAATTGTTTTAGAGCCCTCTCGATGGCCAGTGTGCGTTGTCTGTTCCACTCCTGCACCTGGTGACTGAACTCATCTCGGTAATAGAATTGTTTTATCTCTTCAAAGTAGGTCTGGTCTGAGCCATATCTGTGAAAAAAAGTGAGATTAAAATAATGCAAGGAAGATCTTAAACCCCCCCCCCCCTCAAAAAACCCACACACTCCCATAGATCATAGTTTTCCAGATTATCCTGAGCTGTGCTACTCAGTCTCTGTTTTATTCAGTAAGGTACTTAGAGCCTGCTCACATCTGGTGTTACACAGGTTCTAATGGAAGACTTGAAATAAAAAAAGTTAAGGTATTTCAAAAGTGAGGGTTAACTTCTCCTCTAGTGGCCGTTTACCAGACAACCACTAGAGGGACTCTTATGCATGAGGATCACCAGCATCAGTTTTTCCCTATTGGAAAGTTTTGAATAATGCTTTCCAATGGGGAGATACTAATGCAAACGCGGTCATTGTCACGCATGCGCATTAGGTCTCCCCTGCTGGCTGATTGGACATCAGCACTGGATTCAGGTGACTGAAGGGGTTTTAAACACTTCAGCCGCACGGGAGGGGGCACTGCAGGATTCTACAGTGCTAGCAAAACGGGTTTGTTTTCCTGGCACAATAGAATCCCTTTAAAAACAGTTTAATAAATGTAATATACCTGCAATTAAATTCCTTACTTTTGGCACATTACAGTGTTCATCTTCCCAGATTATAAAATAGGACACAAACTGAAAAATGCAGAAAAGTACCCCTAAAATAACTTAATTGTGGAATGGATATCTTGAGAAGATCTTTTGTGCAGTGCCATCGGGTTGTAAAAGTAGAGGGAAAGAAGAAACATACAAGTTTACATTGTAATGATTACACAAAACAAACACAAAAAATATGAAACTGAAAACCTATTCACCATATATCACTACAAACAGACCATGAACATAATACACACCCCTCTACATCTTTCATGTCAACGCAGAACTCTATAGTGATCAATCCTTCTTCCTCTGCAATGCACATCTTCAGGAACTGATCATCACGCAGCTCTTTCACAGGCTTGTTCTTCAGATATTTGAAGGCATATGCAAAATGGGCTTCATCAACCTCCTGATAATTATAAAACACATTTTCTTTTGAGCATTTGTAAGAGGTAATGCATGCTGTGCAAAAGACAGCAGCGTCAGCATATGTAGAAAAGTATGGGTAACATACAAAGGATAGGTAGCTCTGATTTTGTCTATTTCTACTGCTCAAATCAGGAGTGTATAGCATATGCCTGACATTGATTATATCATGTATTTTTACTACATCATTTCTAATATGCAAGCAAAAATTTTATTTAATCAGCTTAATAGACCTGAATCTCAGTATCTACTAAAGAGTTAGAACAAAATAAAATAAACTGGTGAGAATGTCAATACTTACTTTACGTCCCTTTTTGGTTGGGCTAATGTTAACCTTTCCTCTCTCTTGAAAGGTCTGTCTCAGAACCTGTCTCACCAAAGGCTCCCTTGCAATCTGCAGAGCAACCATGTACCTGGCACCTTCAAGTACTGCTTCCGGTGTACTGAACTGACTGCAATACAAACACACACTGTGAGATCTCGAGAAGCAAAGTAGCATCTTTAGGACACAAAAAAAATTAATGAGGCCTCTAATCTGGGTTTTCCCAAATGTAAACACAAACTTGTTATGGTGAAGTAGCTGGTGGCAAAATACCAGGAACTGCAATGTTTTCATTGCAAGGTTAACACGTCTCTGGTGACTGTTTTTCCAAAAACCAACAGAGGCGATTTTGCTTTTAAAGATAAAATTTCAAATCTGTGCACTAGACCCCCAAATGCTTCCTTATCATTAATCATGATTTTTATTTTTTCTTGTCAATCTTTTTATTAAGGTATGAAAAAAAGGATTACATACAGAAAAATATGCACAAGCATAGCTTATCGTATCAATTTAATTAGATAATACCTCTTTTTTTTTGTCATAAACAGAAACGAGAATATACAAGTTAGTAAAAATGCCTGAATGTAGTTTTGATAATACCCTTGGAAAAGGCAAAACTAGTGAGACATGATGAGCCTAACAATTATAATAGCAAAGTACAAGCAAGGGTTTAAGTTGAAGAAATAAACCACTGGATAGATGTCTGCGCTACACAACATGCTGGATTATCAGGATATAGTGCAGTAATGGTTATGTAGCTTGCTAAGGATACCGCTAGGATCTGGAGAGATGTTAAAGAGTAACAAAAACATAAAATAACAAGAGCTAACTAACGCAGAAGATATTCCAGACAGTGACTCTCATAATGCGGCACATGAACTTCAAGCTCTCGAACCAGCCACAGTCAGCCGATGCCTATACCTGGCAGAGTAAATGCATAAGAACATGTAGGCTATAGAGGTTGTTGGAGAAGTGCAGGCGGTATGGGGTCCTCCTCCAGATCCAGGGCTGTATGGAGGGCAGCATCCGTGCACCACGGACTTGAATATCCTGCAAGTTCGCGGCATGCCCACGACGAGCACAGTGGAAGGCCCAAATGTTCTGCTGGCGCCTGCAGCGGGTGTTCCAGCGGGGTGTGGTCAATTCTTCGGAGGAAGTCTACTCAAGACCCTCGACCCAGTTGGCAGTCAGTCCAGGTGGCTAGCGTAGGAGTAGAGGCTTTGCCTGAAAAAGGCAGTGTCTCAGCCCCCCTTTCCGACCATCATCACCTTCCTCTCTGTGTGGGATGGTGCTGGCATGGTGGATAGGCTTATTGTGCCTAGTTGCATGTGCCCCAGATCAGCAATACGTGCAGCTTCCTCAGTAGGGACCATGGATAACCCCCCGTTGGTCCAAATTGCAGGGGGGGGGGCGGGGGGGGGAGAACGGGACTAGTAAGGTGTCAGGTAAGTTTCCGCTGTATCAGTTAGTGAAGCAGCAGCCATCTACTCCACTCCCTGTCCAGTTAGACAACAGTCCTAAAGTGCTTGAGTCAATATCTGTGACCCAGAATCACCTGATATTAGGTGCTCCAGCTACACCGGGGAAACAGCAAGAACTCATGTGGTACGTTTCCTACAGCATGCCAGCACAGAAATTTGAGTTTTTATCCCTAAGAAGCAAAAAATTCATTTCTGCCTTCTAGCATGGCCTCCCGGTCCCACCCAGACTTCAAGATTTCAGCAAAGGAGGTGGGGTGCAGCCAGGGCAAGACCAGAGAGTCAAGAAGTTAAAGTAAAACTCACCTTTTAGCTCTATAATTGGGATGGGCCTAGTCTAAATAAGGAGTAGAACACTATAGTGTTAGGAATACATGTTTAGATTACCAACCTTACAGTGTTCTTTAAATTAACAAACCTGGATATATGTACAGGACTTTAAATTAGTATCAGAGAACCTATACCCATCAAAAGAACTGTATCCTATTTATTGCCACAGACAGTATTACAAACAGTTTACCTGCATACCAGACTATATATGGCATTGTTGGATGAAAAAAAAAAAAAAATACACACCTGCACACATAGTCCTTGGCTAGCTCTAGAGGCTCAGCAGGGAACTGCTCAGTTTCATGCCGTTGGTAACTGTCCCGCAAATTCTCTCCAAATTGCTCTGGGGTTAGACCAAATTTTTTGGCCAGTCCATCTGAACAGAGAACAAAAGAAAAGTTTAACTCAAATTCCATAATGTAAGTCTTTGTTTCACTGACGTCACCTTAAAAAGAAAACCCAAAGGGGATGAAAAAATGTAAAGATTTCTGGACTATAAGGTGGCACGCTAAGCACAATAATTGCTACACTTATCCAGTTGTGGTTACAGTGCCAGCATAACCCAGTGACATCATTAAGATGTGATTTGTATGCAACCATTTTAACACATTTTTGTTTAACCACAGAAAACTGAAACTCACCCAAACCAGCACTTTGGCAGATTGCATACATATCCCTACGAGAAGCTTGTTTTAAGTCAGGTCCCTTTTGTTCTTCATCTTCTGGTTCTGCATTTTCAGCACCTGTAATGTAAGAAGCAATAAATAAATAAATAAAAATTAAAAAAAATAGCCAACAAAATAGATAGATAGAAATGGCCTCTAATTAAGAAACACTATAGTGCCAAACTACATCATAAGGTATCCCCCTCAGAATAGAGTTAAAAGTATTTTACAGTTTTTTTTCACCATCACTGGCCTCGCTGCAACTGGCCACGCCTGCATTGCGGAGATTATCAGTCATCTCAACCAATCCAATCCAATGCTTTTCCATAGGAAAGCATTGGGAGGCTATTGCACATCCACGGCAAAACGCTGCGCCCATCAGCATCTTGTCATTGCGGTGCATTGAATCAATGAATCGCTATTGGGAGCATTTAGCGTCTCCATGCACAAAGTGGAGACGCAACATAGATCCTGCATAGTTTGCAGAACCTAACCAGGTAGTCCCTCTAGTAGCTGCTGTGTGACAGCCACTAGAGATGTTGCTAGGCAGCAATGTAAACAATGTATTTTGTCTGAAAAGGCAGCGTTTACATGGCAGAGGCTGCATGGACATGCTATAGACACCAGAAGATTAAGCTGTAGTTCTGGTGACAATAGTGGTCCATTAATAATTTACAATAGCGCCAAACAAATGAATACAACTATTGAAATAACTAGCAAGGATGTCCCAAAAACTTCCACAGAGAACAACACAGAGGAGGCCAGTTCAGTCATATCACTATTTCCAATCACACCACTTTAAATTCATATTATCTAGATTTTAACAAACCTTCTTCTTCTCCCTCTTCCTGAATTCGTTTCAGCTTCTTTTGATTAATCTTGGCTGCATTCTGCATCTTGGGGATATCTCGACCATAGTAAAGCAAGAAATGATTGTACACATCCTTAAGTTCATCCATTGACCTTACATCCTTCAGCCTGTTAAGGTGAGAAAGGTCATACTTATTTAAAAAAAGTTATTGACTCAAATGTTTACTGGACACTGCAAGAATGTGTTTCAATTTATTACACTTCTAAAACTGGCTAAAATTTATAAGCAGCAAATCATGGGAAGAAGGTAAAAAGTTATAAATCTTGGGATCAAATTATGAATAGTAATTAAAGAATACATTAAATTCCATATAATATGGATTCCAATTGGCTTCAACTATAATATTTCTGCTAGTGAGAAGGCATTTGGTGGTTGAACTACTAAATGTCTCACTCAAATACTTTAGTGTTAGCTTAGAATTCTGCTTTTGTATAGCATGAAAAATTAACTAAAAAAAGATGTCTGAACATAGTTGTGTGTGTGTAGTAGTTGTACAATATTCCAGCAAAGATAATAGTTACTGCTGTGAAAGCTAGACTACAGAACAGTTTAGGTTTTTGCTCAGTTTTACGAAGAATAGGCAGCACAGTCAATTAACTTCTTTTAGCTTATTGGTTATATAAAAACAGTTCCTTAATACATACAGATAACTTGGAAGACAAGCACACGCACTTTTTCAAATTTTAAATACTAAAAGGAGCCATTACCTTTCAATATCTGTAGTATCTAAGGGTCGTATTCCATCAGCTAATGGCTTGTCAGGATCTGCAGATATTTGTTCATATTGGTAAGCCTGCATCTTCTGGAAAAGGCGGATAAGATTCTGCTTTCGAATCCTCAGCTGAGTCCACTGAGAAAGACAACATTATTCTTTAAAACTGACAAATTAAAGGCGGTGCAGAGTACAAAAAAAAGAAAAGCTATGTACCTTTTCATCCCACTGCCACACACGCCACAAGTCATTAATATTAAGTTCTGGTTCCACATATTCTTTTCTGTAGAATGCAATAAAGGGGACCTGGCATGGAGAGAAAAACAAAAAACCTTAGCTTGACCAGATCATAAAAACAGGGTTTAACAACACTGTACAAGTATTTGAGAAATGGCATTAGATCCTTAAAGCTAACCAGGCTCATACAGATAACAGATTTAAATTATGCAGTGTGTACTTCTGAAGGTCAATGTCTCAACACCATAATAAAAAATCATGAAAAATCATGCTCGAATAGTAATCCTTTAAAGCAGTGGATAGGAAAGTAGAATATTCCAATTTGCCATAAAGCTTTCAAATTGAAAATTACTAGTAAATATATTATGGGGCACTTTTATAGAAAATTAGATTTGATCAATGAATAAGTCAAGCAAAACTGACCAATGGTGCATAACTTTACGTTTATTTGAATTCATTTCTTTTCCGCCTTGATCAGACATTGCAGCTAAGGAAACGTTATAAAAGGAGAAAGCAAAAAAACGAGTGACAAGACCATTTCTTTGCGGTTTCTATAGGATTTAAAAAAAAAAAAAAAAAGAGGTAGTGCTGTTCCTGTCTGTATGGTAACAATATATTAAATAAATGGGTAGCATGTATGAAATTTTTCAGCTTAACTCCTTTATAAATATGCAGTGTAGCACGCTAGAACAAACCAACGGCAAGTATGTTACAATATATTCTTTGCACCAACTTTTGAGGGTTGTTTATTGGGGAGCAGCTCACATGTGAAATACCTCAAAATGCTGATTCCTCATGAAATTTAGGGCCTCTCTGATCTTCTGTATAGTGCTTGGACCCTTCCTGCTGAAGGTGGCTCCAACTTGTCCACGTTCCAGGTAGTCCGTGCTTTCCTGCAAAAGTAGATTTTACATTAAAAAACATAAGACATACACCAAATAAATCCTGTCTTCATAAGTTCTATGTAGACAGCAGTGCACTTACAATAATAAAGCCTTTTTATATATGTATAAAAAGATATACAATATGGCTTACGGTACAAGACAGATTTGGGGGTAAAGCTGCCAAATAGAAAATATTACAAATAGGATTTCATGGCAAACATTTAGCTGTTAGCAGACTTCTCAGGAGGAGACTTCTAATGGGATTAAGAGTGTGCAGTCAGTCACAGGTATGATTAGTGAATGTAGTACTATAGCTCTCTGTTCAGGAAAAGTCTACATCTAGAGTCTAGAGCAGGGTTTCTCAACCTTTTTACAAGATGTAGCCCTTTAAATAGTGCATGTTTATAATACAGGGCATTACCTACTCACTATATTTCTTATATGTATACAAGATGTACCCCTGCAGGTCAAAGTATCTCTGCCTCAAGAACGTAGTTTCTACGGATTAAAATGCCAAATGAAACTTATAGACACTGATACGCAAGTTAATCCAACATTGGAGAACAAGCTTAATTAAAAGTAGTGAAAAATATTTTTAAAATAAATGACAATGTGAATATTATGTATGAACTATTAATCTAAAGTAAGTCACAAAATGAAATTATAATACACACATAATAGTTACATTTACACAGAAACCAATACACAGAAATAGATATGGTGAGGTAACTATCCAATTTGGGAAGCTCAGAAGTTGTTGGTGACCGTCAAATTGCCTCGACACCTGCCTCTGTGTGTAATGCGAGTGATGGCAGGGCCAATCTATTAATATTTTGAGCTGGATCTTGGCGCACCTCTCCCCGATTTCGGTGTGCATATCCCCCCGGGGTATGCGTATCACAGATTGAGAAAAAAAAGAAAAAAAAAAAAAAGTGTCTAGCGGTTCTTATCCCATTCCCAAAAGGACAAAACAGTAAACAGGATTCAGGTATTTCTCAATTCTGTTCCAATGGGTATATGCTAAAACCTGGACTACAGATGCACCTTTAAGACTTTGTAGGAACGTTTTTTTTTTTTTTAAACATTACTTAATAGCTCTGCTTGATATCTATAGCGGGAGGTATCCAGGATGAAATAAACAGTATATAAATCATTTAAAAGAGGTGTGCACAACCAGAATTATTTGTGCACCCCAAGGTGCTACCCAGGTTTAATGAAGGACAATCTTAGTACAGCAAACATTTTGAGCTCTTGCGCCTTTACCAATGCATCTGTCCTTGATAAAGTAGTAAGATTGTCCTTCAATAAACTTTGGTGCGCACCCCTCTTTTTTGTTCATGTATCTGTGGATTTAGAGACTGCTGGAGATGCAGTCGGGGGTGCTTGCTGCACAGTTTTTCATAGGATTTCTTGACAAGTATTTCTAAACCTCTGTTTTAATGTGCCTCAATCATTCAAAAATATTAATCCTACAGCTTGAGAGCAACTAAACTGAGAAACAACATTAACTAAACAGGTCAATGATCTCAAGTCACCTGTAGAGATATTGTTGGTGTTGCAAAAGCATTTCTATATATCCAGTCAGCTTCTTCTTCAAGCTCATCATCTTCAGCCGGTTTAACGGGTATGGAGCGTAGCTGCATTACAAAAAATTTAAAATACATACATAAAAATAGAATTACAATACAGCTTAAAATAAAAGAATGTTTTACAACTGAATTACAGTTTAAAAACTGCAATGCTGGATTTTACGATTGTAACTTTTCTTATAAGACATTTACTTCAGTAGATTCATTCATATTGGTTTATAAAAAGGTTTAGGACTTCTCCAATAAAATTCAGTGGTTTATCATCTACCAACACATACTGTAAGTAGATGGGCTTGGAAATGCTCTCTCCAAGGTATGGTAATTAACACTCAAATTACAGAAACATGCATAGAGGTGAAATTTGGGATGCAGAAAAAGGACCAAAACTAAACACCACCCCCCTCACAAAAAAAATAATAAAAAAAAATAATAATTTTATAGGGAAAATTTTCTTTCATGATGATAAACATAAGGCAAGTATGTGGCCATAAAGCTTTGCATTATCCCATGTATAAAAAGGGCACTCCGCTTACCTGAAACCTCTCTGGCAGGTCGGTAGTCCGGATCTCATTGTCTTGGTCAGTAAGGTGGCTACTCTCCAGTTCACTGGGTTCATAGATCTCGAAGATGCTACGCCGGCTTACTCGCTTCTTGGCTGTTTTCTTTGGCCTAACCCTTGTCTCTCCTTCAGCATCATCATCTTCGTAGTCATATTCTTCCATTTCCTCATCATCCTCATTGTATTTTTCAAATTCATCGTAATCAAAATCCACTCCAAAGATTTCTTGAGCTTCTTGCAAAGCACTAAAATTAGGCAGAACCAGAATTCACACTTTAATATGTTCAAAACAGACAGCTATTAAGCAAGTTTTAAAATGCAAGCAATATTCATGCATTTTTCATATAAAATAAGCCAACATAAATAAAATTCATCTGATTCCAACTGAATGCTTTTATCCCAGACCCGTAAAAACAAATATAACTGAAATGGCTACTTGAAAAAAAAACGAAAAAAAACCCAAACAATTGTGTGGATCTAAAAACTTACGCATCAGTATATCCTGGTAATTTCTTCCTCCATTTGGGTTTTTTCAAAGGCTGCCCATCATCATCAACAATGAAATCATCAATATCTGGAAGGGATGAGAAAAAAAAAATTATATAAAAAAAGTTCAAAAAAAATGCAGTTTAATATTTAAAATCCAATCATTCCCCAGCACTGCACCTCTCACCCCATCTACAAACACTGGAGAGGAAAACCCAAACTTCAGGGTCTTACCTGATTCTTCGTCATCTTCCTCCTCTTCCTCTTCGGGGGCAACAACTCCCCGCTCCACAGGCTCACGTCCCTCTTCATCTTCACCATCCTGAAAGATTTCCTCAGCAATTGCCTCTTTCTCATGTTCCTCCTTTCCAGAGTCTTCTTCCTCCTCATCTTCATCATCAGGCATCTTTACAAGTCGCCTGAACTTTTTCTGAAAGAACATGTCTCATCTTATGTTTTTTATTTTAAAGTACAGAGAGAATATAAAGGCTCTTGCAATACAACAAGCAGCAAATAAATATATTTTTAAGTGGTTGTCTGCAGACATTTTTCTACATCCATTTAAAATTGGTCTTCTACGAGGAACATTGGATTGGACCATTGCGGAAGAAGCCAAGCCTCTATGACAAGCTAAGGACGAGGGCACTAGAACTACAGGTTTGTAGTCCTAATGCTACAGTGTTCCTTTAAGTATTTGTGATTAGTGTTCTGTACACTAATCTATAACAGAGTTAAATCAAGGCAAAGAGGTGATATTGTGGACAGTTTTTCTATTTAAATAAGTGCACTTTATTGTAAAAATGCATAAAATAAGTAAATTAGCATATCCAGTATTTGAACAGTCAAAGTTATGCTACTACGTATGATGTATTCGGATGAGATTCTAAAAAGACTTTGTGCACATGTGCAATGAGATGCCCTGAGCTCTTTTACAAAATTCCAAAAGGAGCCTAAGGTTTTCCATAAAGGTTTTGTCCTTAAGAAAAACTCAGTGGCAGCGTTTCTTTCAATGCAGATAAAAAATAAAATAAAAATTTAAAACATCATGTTACAGCTGCTATACTTACACGTGTGACTTTCACTCCCAAGTTCTCCTCAAGGAGATCAAAATCGTCATCTTCCAAACGATCATCATAGGCTGTAAAAAATGAACAGCAAACCTATTAGATTCCACAAGAAAATTGGGGGAACACAGTAGCACTCACTGGCTTCAAATACAAAACATGGTTTAATTTAAAATGCAAAAGACGCTCACTATTTTGTTCAAATATAAAATAAAACTAGATCTTTGTACAACAGAGGGAAAATTTTTAATATCCTGACTTACTTCGCTTTCTCCGTTTATGGCCAACTTCATCATCTGACCCTCCAGATCCAGACCCACTTCTAGCTTCCTCTTCCTCCTCCTCTTCATCGTCATCGTCATTAATGAAACCTTTCAAGTTTCCTTGCTCATCTTGGTCATCCAGATTTTCTTCCTCCTCTTCGTCTAAAGTGGGAGGGGAAAAAAACAAAACGGTCACTGTGTTCTATGAAAAAATGATCTCTACAGAGAAGCCATGTAAGAGTAAAGAATTTATGCAGATAGTGCCATAGAACAGGTACTTTTAGTACCAGATACTTGTAGCTACATCAGATAAAAAGATAGTTGTGTCCATCAAGTATAGCCTCACATCTGTGCTTGCTGAGAAATCAAAAGAAGGCAAAATAAAATCCTAGTTTGAAGCATTGCCCAATTTTGCAACAAACTTAGTAAAAATTCCTTCATGACCCAGAATGGCAGTAAGATTCCTATTTTGATAAAGAAACTGTTAAAAACACATTGTAGGGGGGCGGGGCCGGGCGGCCATGCTAGCAGGCTGCAAGTCACTATGGCTCCTGAGGAATCCAGCTAATAATGTTGACAAAACCCACCTTACTCAACTTGGAATGCCCTGGAAGTTCGTGGTATATACTCCTGGAGTGTCCCAGTGCAGCTAGAGCACCTGACACCGGGTGGCTCTGGGTCCTGGTGAGATGCTCCGGAGCTAGTGGACTGAGGCCTACACGGGAGGGGAGTGGAGCGGACGGCCGCTGCCTCGCTCTCCGCCCCGGGTAATGAGAACAGCAACGCAAATGGCGCCCTCCCGGCTCCGTTCACCCCGCCATTGGACCGGCGGGGGTTATCCCGGTCCCCACCAGGCAAGCAAACATCTTGGCGGCAAGCCTGGGCGACCCAGCACTGACAGTTTAAGGCTACCATGCGGCCCTCACAAAATGGCCGAGACAGCGACGTGACTAACTCGCTTCCTACCACCAAACCCACAGACCAACATTGGAGGAGAGCCCGGAGAGGTCCTTACCACACACCAACCCCAGCATATCGCTACCTGCATCTGGACACTATGGGCTGCAAAGCACCGCACCCGTACTCACCTACTGACCAGGTACTGTGGACACGGCGATCTGAGGACACTTTGATCGAACTGAAGCTGCGGAATACAGTGGGACCTTTGGGTACTCCGCGAGGGTCACCCCCAAGCCTGGGAACGGGATGCCTCTCAACCAACGACGATCCCAGCTCCTCAGGACGATCCCAGCTCCTCAGGACGAAAGGCAGCCAAGGAGTGCACCGCGGAACTCACCGACAGCCTTAAAAGATAACTCCCTGGCGATACTTGCCGATACATGGACATCTCTGTAATTATAATCACAGCTCATGTCACAGTAACTGTCGGTTTGGGCATCCTGGGTAACGCAGATGATAACTCATTATGCCAAAATCAACCTGGTGGCATTTCATTTAAACACCTATCTTAACTAAGCTAGCACTTCATAAAAGCGTCTGTATATACTCTTGTTTTGAATATAATATAAACCACACATGCAGACTCAGGTTTCAAGCAAACTCCTATTATATTGCTCAGAAGAGGTAGTGAAACACTGAATGAATATGCATATGTAGACCTAGACAATTCCACGTTTGACTAGCCTGTATATCATTCTAAGCTAGATAATTGAAGTTAAACTTGATACAGATGTTGATACTTGCTATTGAACCAGCCACATAAGCTAAGTGACGAATCCAACAATTTTGCTCATCACATAATTATAAAATTGTGCATGTTTTATAGCTGACCCAACTGTTATATATATGTTCCAAATACGCTTGAGGAATGTTGTTGGGATACCTCATGCGGGGATGTTAAACTGAAATGCACTGCAAAAATAAATAATATTTAATAAAAAGGCTCAAACACCCAACTACTCTTGGGCAGCAGCAACGACCATAGTAAAAGACCCCTTTATTGCACGCCCATGTGGGTCAGTCAGTGCTGGCTCCACCCTACCCCGCCTACGATAATCAGAACTGACAATCTCAGCCAATCAATTCTTTTCTGTATTTAAAAAAAATAAAAATAAAATAAAAAATAAAAAAAGTAGGGATTGACCGATATTGATTTTTTTTAGAGCAGATATCGATAATCTGTGAACTTTCAGGTCGATAGCCGATAACTTACCGATATTCTGCACATTTACCATTTTGAAAAAGAGAAACTATTTCTAAAAGGTAAATGCACAAAATATACATGCCACATGTAGTGGATGCAGTGTGCTTAGACAGGGGAGCTATGTGTGTAGTGGGTATATAATGAATGCAGTGTGTATTTGTGTAGTGTGTATATATAGTGAATGTAGCATGGTGTTGTCCGCGTATAGTGAATGCAGTGTGTGTAGTGTGTATAGTGTATGCAGTGAGTGTGTGTAATGTGTATATATAGTGAATGTAGCATGTGGTGTCCCTTCAGCTCCCCTGCTTAACTCTCACAGCCTGCAACGCTCTGACGGCCACGGGACTCGCAAGATTTACACTGGGCAGCTGAAGGGAGCTGCTGGGAAGGTAAGTAAGCGCTTGCTGGTCCGTTGCAGGAGGGGGACTAAAACAAAATGCAAAAACATAAAAAAAATTAAAAAGTAAAATACACTCCCCAACCTTACACATCTACACAAACACTGCATCCACTACACAAACACACACTGCATTCACTAATCAAATACTCTTACTGCATCCACTACACACACATATTCTTGAAAACAAACTGAGTGGCATGTATATTTTGTGCATTTACCTTAACAAAAAAAAAAAAAAAAAGATCTGCAAAAAAATAAACAATTTCAGTTAACAGTAGATGTGTAGAAATAGTTTGTGTTTTTTTTAAATGGTAAATGTACAGAATATTGTTATGTTGTTATCGGCCTGAATGTTCACAGATTATCAGTATCTGCTCTAAAAAAAAAGATAAAACAAAATTCAATATTGGTCGATTCCTAGGACATACTATACTCACCAGAACAACTACATTAAGCTGCATTTGGGTTCTGGTGATTTTAGTGTCCCTTTATTGCATGATGTTAAACAGGAAAGTATAGGCTGATCTGCTTACAAAACATTTATCCAATGAAACTAGTCAACTTTTTTATTTTTATTTTCATTGTTAAATCAAACTCACCATCCTCCTCTTCCACAAATTTTTTGGTAGGCCTCTGTACCACCTCTCCGTCGTTGTCATATTCTTCTTCAGACTCCTCTGCTTCGCTTTCCACAAAGTCAGACATGTTGCTTGTTTTTACTTAATGTCACTGAGATCTAGAAATAGTATGAGAACAAATAAGTGTTGTGGAGCATCGTAAATAAAATGTATGTAAAAAAAAAAAAAAATTCCCCAAACAAGTCTCTCTCAGGCAAATTCGCTTAATATATTAAAGTAAAAGCATTTCTTCTGGCAGTAACAATGCAATGCACCCAATGTCCGCAGCAGATATGACATAAAACATAACTCTTACGATTTCCCCAAGAAAAATCTAAAGGTCTTGTTCCTCAGTAATTTGTTTTCTTTTGTAAATCTTTATCTTAATGTAAGGTTTCAGATTACCGTATTTTTCGCTCCATAAGACGCACTTTTTTTCCCCTCAAAAGTGAGGGGAAATGTCTGTGCGTCTTATGGAGCGAATGTGAAGAATTACTTACCTGTCTTGGAGCGTGGGCCGGCTTCACAGCGCGCTCCGCGGTCCAGGAACTTCTATTTCAGGTTCCGGTTTCCGGCGGGACTGAAAGGAAGTGTGCACACTCAGTGTGCACACTTCCTTTCAGTCCCGCCGGAAACCGGAACCTGAAATATTAGTTCCTGGACCGCGGAGCGCGCTGTGAAGCCGGCCCACGCTCCAAGACAGGTAAGTAATTATGGGACAAGGGGAGGGGGAGACACTATGGGACAAGGGGAATGGGACACTATGGGAGAAAGGGAGGGGAGGACTATGGGACAAGGGGAGGGAAGGAGACACTATGGGACAAGGGGAGGGGGGGAGACACTATGGGACAAGGGGAGGGGGACACTATGGGAGAAAGGGAGGGGAGACACTATGGGAGAAGGGGAGGGGGGGACACTATGGGACAAGGGGAGGGGGGACACTATGGGACAAGGGGAGGGGGACACTATGGGAGAAAGGGAGGGGAGACACTATGGGACAAGGGCACTATGGGACAAGGGGGGGACACTATGGGACAAGGGGAGGGGGAGGGACAAGGGGAGGGGGAGACACTATGGGACAAGGGCAGGGGGGGACACTATGGGAGGGAAGGTGCACTATGGGACAATGGGAGGGGGGACACTATGGGATCAGAACTATGGGACAATGGGAGGGGGGGACACTATGGGATCAGAACACTAATGGACAAGGGGAGGAGGGGTTAAAGAACACTATGGGACAGGGTAGGAGGGGTTAACAATCACTATGGGACAGGGTAGGAGGGGTTAACAATCACTATGGGACAGGGTAGGAGGGGTTAACAATCACTATGGGACAGAGGAAAGGGGGGTTAAAGATCATTATGGGACAGGGGAGAAAAAAAAATATTCTGAACAAACTGTCCCATGGTAAGAAACACTATGGAACAGATTGTTCAGAATATTTTTTTTTCTGGGTTTCCTCCTCTAAAAACTAGGTGCGTCTTATGGTGAGGTGCGTCTTATGGAGCGAAAAATACGGTAGTAACAAAGACAAAAAGGAAATGTAAACCATTACAGTCGGTAATAATGCAAAGTAATTTTGTGACAGACTGTAACAGAGTGCAAGGCATTGTTATGGATGGAGTGTATATTTCTCCAAAAGTATTGGAATACAGTATGTAAATTATTTGCCTCAGGAAGAAGGTCTGTATGTTTTAGTCAGAGCAATGTTGCAATTTAACCCCTTAATGACGAGTGACGGATGAGGTCCGTCACCCGGGGGAAACCCTTAACGATGAGTGACGGACCTTGTAAAAATAACCCCAGATCGCGGTGGTTAATGGTGCTCCGGTCTGCCTCTGTGTTAGCGGCAGACCGGGAGCACCCGATAGTGCTGCCCAGCACATGTGCTCGGTATACTTACCTTCCGCCTCCCTGCACTTCCTGGTTCTGTGTGAAGTGCAGGGAGCCGGAACTGTGATGATCCTGCCCCATGTTAAAAAAATAATAAATCCCAACCCCCCTTTACCCTTTTTAATAATAAAAAATTAACCCCTTCCCTGCCGATTGATCACTGACTACAGTGACCAATTGGCAAGGATTACATTTTACTATGAACTGATTTTTTTTTTTTTAACCCTCAGAGGTTAAATTTATTTTATTAATTTAAGTATTTTAAAATTATAAATTTAGCTAGCTGGGATGGGTGATGGGGATTTGGTACTAGGCTAACTAGGGGTTAACGTTAAAAAAAGTTTTAAAATAAGCTTTAAAAAATTAAAAGTTAAAAAAAGTTTTAATAACATTTAAGTAAAAAATAACCCCCTTTAGCCAGTCCAAATAAAAATTAACCCCTTCCCTGCCAGATGATCACTGCCTACAGTGATCAAAAAACAGATCACAGTATTATACTGTGATCTAATTTTTTTTAACCCCTGACGATTAACTTTTATTTATTTATTTTTTAACCCTCAGGGGTTAAATTCATTTAATTAACTGATTTAAATATTTTATAATTATATATTTTGCTAGCTGGGGTGGGAGGGAGTTATGGGAAAATGGGGAATTTACTGTTAGTGCTGCGTACTGCTAGCTAGGGGTGAACAGTAAAAGAAAAGCTTTGAAAAATGTTAATTCTGTAAAAACAGTTTAGGAAAGTTTAAAAAAATTTCTAAAAACAAAAAGTTTAAAAACTAAAAAAAAAACAAAAAACATTCATTACCAAAAAAACGCTCATTACCACTACACCTGGAACAAACTAGAGAAAAAAAAAAAAATGATCCCATGCCAAGGTTCAAAATATGCCTTTTGAATTACCCCAGGGTGTATTCTTTAATAAATAGTATGTATTTGTGGGGAAGTTTCAATACCCAACCATCTAAACTACTCCAAATTGGAACATGGACACAGCGTAAAACTTCTGAATGGCTGCGTCTCAAATGTGCTCCTTCAACATCCACATATACCTGGCAAAGGTACATACGGGGGTATTGTGTACTCAGACCACATAACTCAGCAACTTATGAAATATTATACAGTCGTAGCACACATAAGGTTTGCAAAATATACTGTGCAAACTTACTCTGTGTGTCATAAAGGCAGAAAAAAACTACCACCACTACACCTGGTACAAGCTAGCGGAAAAATGATCCCACGCTAAGGTTCAAAATATACCTTTTGCAATACCCTGCAGAGTCTACTTTAAGAAATGGTAGGCCTTTGTGGGGTAGTTTGAATTTAAAGGACCACTATAGGCACCCAGACCACTTCAGCTTAATTAAGTGGTCTGGGTGCCTGGTCCAACTAGGGTTAACCCCTTTTTTCTATAAACATAGCAGTTTCAGAGAAACTGCTATGTTTATGTTAGGGTTAATCTAGCCTCTAGTGGCGGTCTCATTGACAGCCGCTAGAGGGCTTCCGCGCTTCTCACTGTGAAAATCACAGTGAGAAGACGCCAGCGTCCATAGGAAAGCATTGTGAATGCTTTCCTATGGACTGGCTGAACGCGCGTGCGGCTCTTGCCGCGCATGCGCATTCAGCCGAAGAGGAGGGGGAGAGCTCCTCGCCCGGCGCTGGAGAAAGAGGTAAGTTTAACCCCTTCTACCCCCCCAGAGCCCGGCAGGAGGGGGACCCTGAGGGTGGGCACACGAGTATGTTTTCCTGACACTAGAGTGGTCCTTTAAAACCTGCGAAGATGCTTGGAAATTGCACATAGGCCCAGCGTCAAAATTCAAAGTTCGGTAAAAACTGATATGGCTTGGTCTCCTATATGGCACTGTAGCTTTACGAAATAGTGCCAGAGACATTCATTGGGGGTGTCTTTTTACTCAGAAGACTTAGCTGAGCATAATTTGGGGGGGTTTGAACTTAGTGGCACATATGAAATATACAAAATGCCCAGCAAAAATGCAATCAGTATGTAAAAAAATAAAAATGCACAAAATTATTTTTTACCACATACTGTGGCATTTATTGGTGAAAAAAATGAGGCACAATATGAACCTTATGATATACCCTGGAGTGCCTACTTTTACAAATGGTAGGCCTTTGTGGGGGGTTTTTGAACAGTCAAACTACTATAATACCCCAAATGGAAGCATAGGCTCATTAAATCCATCTCAAAATTCTACTGTGAAAACTGAAGAGGACAGGTCTCCTATATAGCACTGTAGCTTCACAAAATAGTGCCAAAGACAATGGGGGTGTCATTTTACTCAGCAGATGTAACTGAACACAAAATAAAACGTTGTACAGGAATAGCACACACCAACTTTACAAAATATACATGAGAATTTCTGTTATAAGTTTATGTGCCAAAAAAAACCCCCAAAAATTTTACTCCAATATTTAGCAGAGGTTGGCGGTGAAAAGGCTAAGTAGAAAGTGTCAAAACAACCTTAGGTAAATAGTCTGTGATGTCTTCTTTATATAAATATATACTTTTGTGTGGCAATTTTGTTTTCATTTATGGCTATTACAAGACAAACATACCAAATTCTAAAATCGCTCCACATTAAAAGTTTATTTTACTCCTTGTGCTTTGTGACCTACAAAAAAAAAAACTCACGCATTCTCATTGACAGTCGCTAGAGGCGCTTCCGTGCTTCTAACTGTGATTTTCACAGTGATAAGACGCCAGCGTCCATACGAAAGCATTGAGAATGCTTTCCTATGGACTGGCTGAAAGCGCGCGTGGCTCGTGCCGATGAGGAGGAGTCGTCCCCCGCCCGGTGCTGGAAAAATAGGTAAATTTAACCCCTTCCACCCCCTAGAGCCCAGCGGGAGGGGGACCATGATGGTGGGGGGGGGGACCTAGAGACCCTATAGGGCCAGGAAAACTAGTATGCTTTCCTGGCACTATAGTGGTCCTTTAAGACTGTGTGCTTGAAAATGCAATTCCAACTCTTCAGCCAAAGCTTGGCCTAAGAAAAGGAAAAGAAGGTAATCCCGGCTAGGTAATACGTCCAAAACTCCTGCCTAATTTATCTTTGAAAGAGCCCAGTGGGATCAACAAACAGCATATAGTAAATCCATGATTACCAGTTACTACTTCCTCCATGTAAGCATTCCACGGTTATCAGTTCTGTGCATTTAGCAGCAGCGCCCCACAAAGAAGCTTTAATCTTCTCTAACGCATCTAGCCAGCTCTGCTTAGATGCCTCTTCCAGAGGGCAGGTACAAGTGATTTTACTGCATTCAACAAATAACGCAAGATGTATTTTTTTGGTATTTAGAAAACCAAAAGGGTGTGACATGGAGCAAAACATTTTTCAAAATGAACAAAGGCAGGGTTACTGAATATTTCAGCGAGGGCGTCCATAGCCATCTGCCAGTAGGCTTGGATAACTGGGCAATACCACCTATCGTGCTTAATTGATCCTATCCCAACTTCACATCCCCAAGAGGTTGGTGGAACAGACTGGAAAATCCATGTAAATGTAAACATTTGGGAGTATGGTACCACAGAGAAATTTGTAATTAACTTCCTGATATCTCGAGCTGATAGAGCTCTAATGGTGTATGATGAAAACCTTAATTCATTTATTAGTCGTGAAAATCTCACATTTTCTCCCATTCCTGTTTAAACAGTGAATTGCCCTCCCCGGTCCATCAACAGAAGTTGAAAAAGGCCCGAGAGACCTCTTCATCCAGACACCGCCCAAGCACCAGTTTAGATCCCTATGATGCAGCCCTGTAAGGGATGCCACTACAGAAGTGTTAAATTTGCAGATAGTAATACCCTTCAAAGGCAGTGGGTTTACTACGCCTACCAGCTCATTCAGGCACCATATATCTAATGCGTTCAGTACTTGGCTGATGGGAATAAATTATCCTTGATCTAGAAATTTTAGATCCTTAACCAATAGACCTCTGGCTAGACTTTTGTTATGCGTTAGAGATATCACCATGGGGTCTACAGTGGAGGGAATTTGTGTGGATATCTGTAAGGAGAACCACATTTTGAGGGTTTGTGATACTGAATATCTGGTTCTGGTTAACAGTCCCCTAGATAAGACCGTGGTTGTATTCCAAACAAGGGAAAGGAGTAGGATGCTTCCACTCACCATGCCCTAAGTGTTATTTACATCCAAAAGATTTAATTAAAAAAAATAATAATGCCAGTGATAGTGGAGGAGGGGGAAATCAGCAGGTAAACTGCCATTTCCCCCAGTTTGTTTTTTTTA